GCATGAAAAAGGCCATCTAGATTCAGTTCTCCATCTATTATTCCTCTTCAAAAATTGGTTTAGGAACAATAAGACTATAAAATAAGGTACTAGGCAAAAATTTTGATTAGATGAATGAAACTTACTGATCCAATGAAAATAATCTTGAGGGAAATCTATAACATTATTATTTTTTAATGCTCCCCATTAAGTTATATTTTAACAGCAGTGCTCTTCAAGCTTCCTGTCTTTATTCAGTGGCCCATTAGAGGTATAAATAAAACAGCATATGACAACGAATAAAGATAATTTAATATTGTCTAATGATCCAAGCTTCGATGCTGACAAATTCAGCTGAGGGGTAACCTGAAGGAGAGGCCAGTCATGCGTCTAATCATATGATTAAAGCTAGTCCTGAACCTCTTGCTTGATACATATTTAGGGCTCGAAACTTAAACAATTGTTTTATCACTAATCCCAAAGTAGAGATTTGAATGGATACCCTTATGGCCTGTAACCACATCCAGTAGGAAGTTCTGCATAGCTACCCCAGGTACCTTCCAGGTCTTTCAGTGGCTCCAGTCAGGGAAATTATAGATGCCTTGGGTTGTTTAGCTAAATTAAAGCCCAAATAATCAAAGAGAAGGGAGAGAAAAAGGAGACACATAAAAGTTCTTAGTGAAAGCAAAATAATTAGAGAAGCAAGAAAAAAATAGTAGTTAAGAAAAGAACATTACCATGGATTAGAAATGTGCTGTGTTCATATGACATTTAAAAAAAAAAATCAATTCCAATGATGGGCATTCTTTTCCTCTGTGGTTTTGTTTTGTATTGTTTCGTTTTTTAATAAAAAAGTATAACCATTCTTGTGGAAAATAGCACAGAAATTTTCCAAAGGAAAAACAAAACAAAATCATAATCCCATCCAGAGATAACCACTTTTAAGATTCTGGTTTTGATCTTTCAGTATTTTATCTAAAAAATACAACAGTGAACACATGAACACACACACACACACACCCCCACCCCACACACCATGGTGGAGAGGTAGATTAGGGTAATGGTTAATAGCCCCTGAAGTCAGGATGTCTGAATGGCTCAGTCGGTTAAGCATCTGCCTTTAGTTCAGGTCATGATCCCAGAGTCCTGGGATCTAATCCAGCACTAGGCTCCCTGCTCAGTGGGGAGCCTACTTCTCCCTCCACCCCTCCCCCTTGCTCGTACTCTCTCTCTCTCTCTCTCTCACTCTCTCTGTCCCACTCTCTCTCTCTCTCAAATAAATAAATAAAATCTTTAAGAAGAAAAGTAGTCTCTAAAGCCAGAGTGCATGGTTCTCAATCCTGCCTCTGACACTTATAAGCTGTGTGTCCTTGCACACATTTACTTGACCTCTCTGTGCTTTAATTCCACATCTTTAAAGTTGGGATAACATCGACGTCATAGAGTTTTATGAGAATCAAACGGATTGACATCTATAAAGCTTCTAGAATAGTGCCTACAATACAGAGTAGTATATAATGTTTATATTTTTATCTCTAATTATAAATAGTTTTACAAAAAAATGGTGCCACATTGTATATATTATAATAGATCTTATGTTTTTCCAATCTGGTTATAGCCCTTTAGGAAAATCTGCTTTTCCATGCTTTTCTTGCATGTCAGGGCCTTTAAGTGTGTCCAATAAATAAATATCAATTAGTACCAGCCTCCCCCTCATCCTAATTGTGAGTCAGTTGAAAAATAAGACAGAGAAGTATAACAGAGAGAGTCCAAAATATCACTTTCAGTACTGAACAAGCTGGTATGAGGGATGTGGCTTACTTCTGTTGGCAAGCACATCTCCTTACAGTTGACCACCAGATACATAAGCTTCCCCAAGTAAGTCCTTGGATCATCACAGCCCTCTCACACGGAATAAGTGAGGTTACAGAGAGGACAGGCATGTCATGCCAATGGAATTCTATCTGCCTTGGAAAGGTTTTACTTCTGACTTTAATGTCCTTTAAAAGCTTGCTTGTTGAAGCAGTCTGACAAAGCACATAGTGGTAACTCAGACTGTGTATCTCAGATCTCTTTGGACATTTTCCCCACATATAACTTGAATAAGCAAGCTGGATATGCCTTGCCAAGTGAAGATTTGGTGACCACAAATGTGCTTACATGATGTAAAAGTAGTTGATTAATGTATGAGTCAATTGAAAATCAGTTCATTTGGTGCAAAGCCTCATGTCTTATTGGATATCACAAAGAGATTGCAATGTTTGTGTATGTAATGTCGAGAGCTGGCCAATTATGTGACTAGTTAAATCTCGAGTCTATTACTAAGAATTTAGAGCATTAATGATTGAAGGTATATTATCCAGTAATACAAATAGCTACCCTTCACTGAATGCTGATTGTGTGCTCGCATCATGTTATACATTTATTACATTTTATCTTAATTCTACTGCAGCTGATTGTGGTTGAATTGGTTGTTTTTCTGCCTCCTATCCTCTGATCCTCTCTGTATCCCAAGACACTGACTTCTGAAAACTAAATTTCCCAGGCTCTCTTGCATCTGATTTCCTGTTAGTTTGTCAACGACAGGTATTGATGTGAGACTGGAGTTGTTAAAATCAAAAGAAACAAGATCAGCCTTGGAAATTCCTGGAGCAGACAAAACCAGTTTACTTGTACAAATAAAGCTTAACTTAGCTTATTTTTGCAAGACTAACTGGACGTGGGTGATTTCTTGCTTGTGCTTCTGGAAATTGTAAGGAAAACTTAAACTCTTTCCATAGGGTTGGTATGAAGTAACCACTGACCAATTCACTATCACTTAAGAAAATTCTAATATTTTGACCAACTACTGAAAAAATGAAACAGTAACTGTTTTCTTACTATATAAGATGCTTTATAATAATATACTCCTGAGCCTCATTCCATGTTTTGGTTTGAGAGCTCCCGGTTTTGCAAATTTTCTTTTTTTTGGTGTGTGCCCAGTAAACTTTTACTAATTACTACTTCAGTGATTCATTGGTTTGACTTCTGTTATTTCTGAACTTTTGACAGAGTTGTAAAGAGAAGAAAAGCCAAGGCATATCCACCCTCTGTAGGTGGTACCTCTGGCAGGGGCTGTATATCCTTGAGCACTGCTGGTCCTACAACTCAGGCCTTTTCCCTTTTTGATTCAGCCTTAAGCATGGGAGTAACTTCTTACTGGTATAAATCTCTGGATTGCACACCATTTGCCCAGTTTGGCTTTTAAACTCTTCTGATACTTTTATCACTGGTTTTCCATATTAAATTCTTTTACTGAACTACCCGTCATGAGTTCGATTTTCCTGTCCGGACCTTGGCTGATAGGAAAGATAGAGACTGTCTTCATTGTGTGGATAGATTAAGGTGACGTGTACAAAATCACACAGCTAGTTTAACAACAAGCTTTCAAACCAGCTGGGCTTCATTTCAAAGCCCAAGCACTTAAACTATTGTGCTGTACTCAAATGGTATTCCAAATGAATATACAAACAAAAAGTTTTCATTAATTGCCTCTTCCCAGTACTTAGCTCAAATTGTCTGCATTATGGCACTAGCTAGCTATGATTATCATTTAATTATCTATCTCTCCCAATAGCTTATGAGCAGGCACATATGTTATTCATCTTTGTATTGCTAGCACCAACCACTGTGCTTGGAATGCAGTAGAGTCTTCATAAATATTTGGGGAATGAATGAATAATAATCATTGCCATTTATGGAGTAACTATTTCATTCCAACAACCCCACAAGGAGCATTATGTAAATTTTATAACTCAATCTTCATTAACAATCTTACTAGGTAGGGATAAACACATAGGTATCCCACATCTTAGGTTGGGAAAAATAGGCTCAAAGAGTTTAAATAACTCACAACTAAACTAGAATTTGCTAACTGGGCTTCAAGTTCTGACATTTTTACTATATCTAGCTGCCTCCATTAAGGTGAATGAACAAATACATAAATCGATGGGTTGGGGAAAAATAGGAACATTTTATTGGATTTTCAGTTATTTGGGGAGCTTTATAAACCTAAAATCTTATCTCTATGAGGAAAAGGAGCAACTCAGTATCTACATGCCAGAATTTAATGAAGGAACATGTTTTTGTACCCAAAATTAGGTCTGTACAGGCAAAAGGAAGAAAAGAATTGGGATAATAACCTGAAGAATTGAAAGAGTTTAAATTGCAAGTGTGGAAGGGGTGCCCAAGTGGCTCGGCTGGTTGAGCCTCCTACTCTTGGTTTCGGCTTAGGACGTGATCTCAGGGTTGTGAGATCTAGCTGGGGCCAGGCCTTGAACTCAGTTCAGCAGGGAGTCCACTTGAGATTCTCTCCCTCTGCCTACACCTCCGCCCCTGCTCATGCTCTTGTGTTCTCTCTCTAAAATAAAAAAATCTTTTAAAAAATTGCAAGTGTGGAAAACAATTGGCTATTCTCATAATTATCTAATCATTCTCCAGAATGACTTGGCATGGGATACAACACTGATGATATTTACAATCAGTTCTCCTAAAGATTTAGAAGTCAGGTTTCAGGTTTACTTTTCCACATCTTGGTCTGTTATCCAGAGTTAGACAGTACGTTATCCAAAGTAACAGGGTAGGTATTTTTATTGCTGGATTGCTGATGGAGCTTTTCGTGCTTGTGTTTTTGTGTGTTCCATTCTTTGCTTTGAATGGTGTAATCAATGGATTAGTCTATGACTCAGTTAAGTTTCTCCTCTACTTTTGCCTGAAGTTATGCATTCCTGGTTCCTCCTCTGAACGTAGGAAGTAACATAATGCCTCTATTTGTAAGGCTGATTTGCAGAATCCATTATCTTATTTTTTGATTTCAGATGAAAATGAACTAATAGAAGAAAAATAATTTGGAAGGCATCACACAAAGAGTTATTGTTGCTTCTTCTTCTTCTTTTTTTTTTTTTGTCTTACTGGCACTTACTTGATTTGGTATTGGCTGAAATTATCTCAGCTGGATATCACCAAGAGGCTGTTCTTTTCTTGCAGAGTTAGGAGTGATTTGAAGATTCTGGAAATAAACAACTTTCATAAGATTTTTGCTGGTGCAGCCCTCTCTTTTTTTTTTTCCCAGGGGAAGGATGTTCTCTTAGGTCTTCTTCATGTATGTACAACTAGTTTTGCCATGATAAAGGAAAGCCTTTATTTTTATTAATTCAATAGTATAGAATAATGTAAAATTAAACATATGTATTTCCCCCTGGTGATTTATAGTAATAGAAAACTATGTCTAGATACTTAACACTGGGGGAGAGGCACAAACAAGACCATTTATTTGTTTTGTAAAACATTGTATTCTTCTGTGATTGAGACATATCACTAAGGGCTGACAACCCAGGGGTGCCAAAAAGCGGGAGCGTTGCTATTCAATGGTTATAGAGTTTCAGTCATGCAAGATGAAAAAACTCTAGAGGTTCAATGACCCCAAATATGCGTTTAGTTAACAATTCTATAATGTGCTTTCACCACAGCTATAAAACAAAACAAAAACAAAGAACCCCAGTAGGGTTGTGATGAGTAGGCATGGAAGAAACTCAACCACATTTGTGCAAGAATGCATACTAAAGAATTACCTGCCCCCATTTGAATGCTGAGAAGGAGTTAGAGAAGGAAAATGCTTCTAAACTTAATAAAACTTGAGCAAGTTGTTTTCATTAACAGTAATGATTGATGGGGATTTGTTGGTGACATTGTGGTCCCAGGAGCAGAAGTCACCGTATAAACAACACTGTACTAACAAAAGGGGTCTGTTCACATGACTGGCACTGGCAGGGCCATGAGGATATGAAGAAACAACGTGTGCATTTCCTGATTTGGAGCCAAAGTACTCAACAGTGATTGTGACATTAACTATTGGATTTCATGATTTTTTTTAAAATAAATAGATTTCATTGATTCATTTATTTATTTTCCTCCATTAAAATTTTTAAAATGGGGTCACCTGGGTGGCTCAGTCGTTAAGCATCTGCCTTCGGCTTAGGTCATGATCCCAGGATCCTGGGATCAAGCCCCGCATCGGGCTCCCTGCTCAGCCGGAAGCCTGCTTCTCCCTCTCCCACTCCTCCTGCTTGTGTTTCCTCTCTCACTGTGTCTCTCTGTCTGTCAAATAAGTAAATTTTAAAAAAATCTTGAAAATTTTTAAAATGTGTCTGAAAAGCTAAAATGTTTTAGGGAACGTTTAGTGTTAACTCAATCGCATTTAATTCCTTCCAGGTGCTTAGCTTCAAACAACTACCTCTTACCCCAATCAAGACAAATGTTTATAAAACTTCTCTCAAGACAATAAACACATTTTGAACAAATCTTTGAGGCATGGTGATAAAAACTGCTCAAGATGGGTACATAGTATCACAATGCAGAGAGGGAACTAGAAAATTCCTGTTTGTGGGGACTTTCTGTGTCACTAACTCCACATTCTATGTCCTGTGGTTGCCGCATAGGAAAAATAGGCATTTAGAATAGACATGACCTTAGCCACTAAAAAGAGTGAAGCTAACTTAGACGTGGGAGAGGAATAGGTTTTCTCCTTCTCTTATTGTTTAATTGCATGACCATAATTGGGCTCAGATATTGGCAAGGAGCAAAGAAGGGGAAAAAAGAGAGGAGGAAGACTGGATTCTAAATTGTGAGAAGGAAGAAATGAGGACAGTTGAGAGGTTTGTGATAAAAGCAGATATATTACAAACGAGGACCAAAGACTAGCAGTACCCATTCTTTTGAAAAATTGACCCTATCTATTGGTTTTTCCAAAACTAGTGCCATGTACTTGCTCTGTAATTAAGGTGACTTGGCGTTACATGGGGTGGATTTCAGCATGAGTTCATTTGTATGCTATTCAGATTTGCCAAGACTGTCTCTAATAATTTTCATGTCTGATCTACCAAGTTTTCACCACTTACATACCAAACAATTTTTATTTGGTCATATGCTGTTCAGTTGTATTCTAATGTGTTTTATTTAAAAGTTTTACCTTTTCCAATAAAAACGTAAGCTCCTTGCGATCTGGGTCCAAGTCCTTTCCACAGAGGCTTACACCTTTCTAACTGGTTTATATTGTCTACAGGACAGCTTACTGTCTTGTTCACAGCTAAAATCCTGTGCTTAGCCCTATGGTTGGTACATAGCAGACTTTCAAGAAATGTTTCTTATGTCTGCGAGAAGATGAGTAAAGAGAACTAAGCTCAAACATAATTGTTCAGTGGCTGTTGCCTTAATGTGTGTAGGGAAGTGGGATTCAGCAAATGTATAGAGGCAAAGCAATTAGGTTTTATAAATTCGTGCACTGAGGATCACTTGTTAAGTGGATATTGTTCAGAAGATTTTAATATGTTAATGCTGGGTACTACTAAGGTATCATTCTGGCAACTTGAAGTAGATTTACTAGAATATAAATATTGTCTGAGTGGAACACTTTGCTTTTGGTGCAAAATAATGCCCTAGTTTCAAGACACAAGCAGACAAAATCTTTGACAAAAGGTTAGTAGAATTTAATAGTTTAACTCATCTTTTTGTTTTACATATAAAAATGTGTGCCTATGTAATATATATGTGTGTAAATACACATATATCTGTATTTATTATATGTGTAGGCATATAGATCTCCACTTATATGTTTGGTCTTCTTCTAAACCTCACATTATAACTTGGAACTGTAGGATTCTTTTCCAGATCATAGAATTATTTGTTATTTTTACTTAGGCTATTTCCATGATTAAAATTCCATATCCCCCCAGGTTTCCGTGAATCAGCTGTGCCCCAGAAAACGTCTCCCTTCCTGAAACTCCAGGGAAGTCTTGGAACGCAAAGAACTTGAAGAGGGAGCCTGGCCAAATAGAGATTTTTGAGCCTTGGTAGGCTTGCTGAAGCAGATTTTTAGCACAAACACAAATCAAAGTCTTTGTGTACTTAAAAGCAGCATTTTCATGTAAGTCCAAAAAGCTCACTTTGGTTCTATTTGTTTGGCTAAAGAAATGAAAAGCTTTGTTTTAACCACGTGGTCATTATTTTGCAAGGGGACCTAGCAAATTATTCTAATATCTTTAATCTCACTAAAGACTAACTAAAGTTATTTGATGTAACTTTCTCAATAGAAAATTAGCAACTAAATCTTCTCTAACGTCATTATTTTCTTTTAGATCTGAATCAAAGCTTCTCAGGTATTTTTGTAATACAATGGAATCTGATTGTTACTCAGATTCCATGTTTTCTTCAAAAGAATGATGATTTATGATTTTGTCAGTTAATAGCTTTTTGTCTCCTTTAAAAGGATAGAACTAAGAAATATCAAGATTTAAAACCTAAATACCTTGGAACACTCAGAAGAACAACATGGCAGAAACTGAGAAAAGAATTGAAACCCATAGAATACGATGTCTTTCCAAGCTGAAGGTATGGACTCGTGTGTGTGTGTGTGTGTGTGTGTGTGTGTGTGTGTGTGTGTGTGTACCTTTTCTTTTTTTTTTTTTAACCTAGAGCTTGTAAAGTTGCTCACATGAAGTGATTTAATGTTAATGTCACATTACCTGATATACTGATAATTTCTTGCTTTGCTGAGGTTTGTTTTAAACTGAGAGTTGAATAGGGCTATTGATTCAGGCAATTTAATCAGAAATGGTTTTGAGGAACTTAAATGGAAGATAAGGTCTTAAAGTTTTCAGGCACATAATATATTACACCAGGATTTAATTTGTTGTATCAAAAGGCCATTTCAATGTTCACCCTTGTAGGGTTTCTAGTCCAGAGGAGTATGAGGGTCTCTCCTAGAAAATGGTTCAATGGACAGAAATGCTTTGTCTATATGCATGCAATGATTTCTTCACAACAAGCCAGTAAAACAAATGTTTACTTCAAACTTTGGCAACATAACAATCATTCTCTGTAAGAATAATGCCCGTTTTGTTAGCTGTTTCTGGCATTCTTGCCTATTTCAGAGCAAATTCTTTTCCTATATCTTCAAAGCCATTTGCCTTCAAAGAAAATTTGAATTTGTTTTAAACCAAGGGATCTGGAAATTTGTCTGGATTCTACAGCTAGTGCCGCAAGTGATTTCCAGACTTAAACTGCCACCAATATTCTCCCTGTCAAAGTTTGTTTTCTCTTCACACACATGTAGGGAAAATCTACACATGTGCATAAAAGTGGAGAATTATGACCTAGATCTAAAAAACTACTTTTGCCTAAAATGCCACATTAATTATTTTAAAAATTCCTCTTAAATTGTCCCCCAATTCTCATGTCCTTCTTCTAAAATTGAGTGTTAAAAATAAGGATCTAGGCTCAGGATCCCCGTGTTCATACCTAGATTCAACTGCATACTTGCCATGTGACCTTGGACAAGTTCCTTAACCTCTTTGTGCTTCAGCTTTCTTATTTGAAAAAGCTAACAACAATACTCTTATTTCATAGGATTTTTTCCTTTTTATAAACTTGGAAAAATGACTAGAATATTGTAAACATTCAATAAATATTAGCTATTATTATTGATAGCATTATATGTTAACTAACTGGAATTTAAATAAAAACTTGGAAGAAAAAATTAATAGCATTTGTGTGTAAAAGTCAAGTCAATCAGGGAAAGACAATTATCATATGGTTTCACTCATGTGTGGAATGTAAGAAACAGTGCAGAGGATCATAAGAAAAGGGAGGGAAAACTGAATGGGAAGAAATCAGAGAGGAAGACAAACCATGAGAGACTCTTAACTCTGGGAAACAAACAGAGGGTTGCTGAAGGGGGCGGGTGGGGGGATGGGGTAACTGGGTGATGGGCATTAACAAGGGTACATGATGTGATGAGCACTGGGTGTTACATACAACTGAGGAATTACTGAACACTACATCTGAAACTAATGATGTTGGCTAATTGAATTTAAATAAAAAAATAAAAGTCAAGTCAGGGGTTATTTATAAATAATTGCTCTTAATTTAATATTTGCTTACTTTGGAGTTTGGCAAGATTAGATACTGATGTTCATGTTATGGCAAAATATTGAGAGGACAAGTTTATCAGGTAAAACTGGGCACCAACTGCTTAATAGTCAGATTTTTTTTTTTGTTTCTCTGAACTTAGAAATATGCATATTAAACAAAATTCTTTAGAAAGCATCAGAGGACTGTCCTCAATAAGTTTGCCTAAAACTCTGGGCATTACTGTTAAATGCTAGTAGGATAGCTTCATAAAGATAGAGGTTATTTTGCACCAGACATGAGTCATAATAGCTACGGGTTGCTTTCACTTTGTGACTAGAACCAAACTGTTTAGGCAACCCATCTAGGTGTTTTAGGAAAGAACATTGGGGTCATGATTCATCTAGTTTCCTCTCTTAAAGTGTAAAATAAAATAAATTATTCTCCCAAATATGATTCATATGTTCTTTGGTAGACCTTACTTTTAAATATAAAACCTGAATTTTAAAACCATATGAAAATTTTATATTCTCAGTCATGTGCTCTGCAAAGATTTATAGTGTGGAGTCAGTTTCTACAAATGACATTTACTATAAAAGAATAAACAACTGGAGATATAGCTGTATTATCTTCTCAGCCATGTAATGGTTTTGACTCATATTGAGCCTTATACTTAAATTTCCCAGGTCTTTTTCACATAAATTTCTATTCAGATTTCTCCAGATGAATTGGTACAGCCAACTCAGCTTAGGAGTATTTATTTAATCCTATTACATTTCATCTTATATTCAGCCCACTTTCAGCTCTGACCACTTCTTCAGGATGTTTTTGATTATTTCATCTGTCATTCATTCAACAAACTTGTATTGAGTGCCTACTATTCTTTAGGCATTTACTAGACACCAAAGATACAAAGGTAAATAATATATGGAACCTATATTTGAATTGTTCACAGTATAGTGAGGGAGGAGGTCATAGGCATCCAAGCTTATATATAAAGTGTATTGTGGTAAGAGCTATAATAGAGACAGTACACAGCAGGTAGGTAACGAGTGAGTAGGCAAGGCTGCCTGGGGAGCCGAGAGACAGGAAGGCTCCACATTAGAAACGATGATAGAGCTGAGAATAGAGATAGAGTATGCATTTATCAGATGCATAAGGGGAAGGAAAACTTTACAAGTGGAATGCCATCCTGTAAAAGGCACTGAGATGTGAAATGGCATGGTGAATTAAGAAACTGTAAGTAGAACGTTATGTCCAGGGACAAGCAGCAGGATATGATCCTGAGATATGGATGAGACACCGTTTGCCATCTAAAAAAGTAGAGATTTTTCTTGTGGGAAATCACTAAAACATTTTAAGAAGTGAAATCACATGCTAGTTATGCATTTTATTAATTCATTTGACAGATATTTACTAAACTCCAAATTAGTGGTGGTGGCAAGGGGAGGGAGTGTAGGTGTGGACAAGACTAGAGGCAACTAAGTAATGCTGGCAATTGTCTTAGCTAAATTGTGTGTTCATTTGAGAGATTTCAGCATATGGATGATAGGGAAAGCTATGGGAATAAGTGAGATTTCTTAGGGAGAGCACATATAGCACAAAGAGTGGAAGGTACAAGACAAATCCTGAAGGGGTTGACTAAAGAGAAGACTGAATAGAAAGAGTCTAGCAGGCAGGTGGACATACACATATGCATGGGGGGAGGGAATTTCAGGAAGAAAAGAGATTAGCCGGGTCAAATGAATCAGAGACATCAGGTTAGTTGAGGACTAAGAAGTATCTACTGAACTTGGAAACTAAGAAGGTGCTTTTGACCTTTTGTGGAGTAGCTTCAGGAGAGGCCAGACAGTAGGAAACTAAAGGGTGAACGGAAGGTTAGAGTCTAGGCAATAAACCTAGATTATTCTTCCAAACAGCCTGATGGGAGCTGGAGTAGCAACTATCAGGGGTTAGGGAAAAAATAAAATTTTTTAAAGACAGAAATATCTTGAATATACTTAGGAGGGAGAGAGGCAGTAAAGGGTGTGAGGTTGAACATAGAGGATAGAGTATTTACTGATAAATCATGATCTCAAATGGGAAGAATGGATTCAAAAGCACGGGTGGAGGAATTTTATTGTACTGGAAAAGGGACACCTATCCTTTAAAGGAAGGAAGGGAATTAGAGGGGCAGAGATGGAGGTAAGTTTGATGATGACGTTGCGGAGATCATTTGCTGGTCATGAAAAGCACCTGACTGGCTTGAAGACTGAGAAATAGAAAAGACTGTGAATAATTTTGAAGGGAATGTGCAGGTACAATATAAATTGTGGGGTTGGTTCAAGATTGGGAATGTGAAAGGTGGAGGGGTGAGGATTTTAGGGATTTGAGTATGCTGGCTAGAGAGCAGACTGAATTGTCTCCAAGGATGGAATTGTCATCAGGAAACATCTTTAAGTGGGACCAAGGAAAAAGTCCTATGGCATAGGGTTGGAAACCACCATTCAGGACAACCTAAATCTATTCATCACTAATTTGTTGGTCCTGAAGCAGTGCTTAATCTACCTAATTATACTATTACCCAGTATATAACACTCATTTGCCAAGCCCTCTATTGAAATCTAAGTCTGTTTCTTTCTAATTTAATAAAACTATCAAAATTTTGACTTTTCCACATTTTTAGTAAGATCCTGCTAGCTTTTGGTGATCACAATAGTTCTATTTGTTAAGTTGTCCTTGACTTTTGTTATGGATCACGTCAACCTGACTGTCTTCTGAAACTCTATCAGTATATAGGAAATGTGATTCAATACATGGAAATTTATTGTATTCATATTCATTCCTTAAAGCAAATACCTGGTCAGTTTAGAAACATTTTTATAATGGTTTATAATTACTTTAATATAATATATATAAACATATATATATATATATAACATATAACATTGCTTTAAATAAATAAACTGGGAGTGAGCAGCAATCTGATGTTGCATAATTTGCCTATTACTTTGGAGAGACCCTGAGCAAATTTGCTATAGAAATAATGTCTTTGTGTAATGCCACATTCCTTTTTTTATTATCGTATATGTCTTCTTTGTACTACAGATAGCATTATAGTGCTGAAGATCTATTTAAACTATTAGCTATATCTTATTTAGAGTGGCTGTTTCTGTGTATGTACAAGATATGCCTATAAAATAATGAGGCTACAACTACTTACAAAATTCAATATTACTAATCAGGCCTATTTTGAGTTTTCAAAGAGATAACATGGCATGAAAGACCAGAAGAACAGACCACATTAAAAGTTTTTTGCATATTCAAGGGTTACTTACGTTGGAGACAACCATTCTTATGGTAGAAGATATTTTGTTAATAGGTGGCAAATACAAAAATAAATTTTTCCTGTGTTTTTTAATATTCTTTTCTCCCTAGATGTTTCTTCTGGCAATAACATGTGCATTTGTATCCAAAACACTATCTGGATCTTATATGAATTCCATGCTCACACAAATAGAGAGACAATTCAACATCCCTACATTTCTAGTCGGATTTATTAACGGGAGCTTTGAGATTGGTAATGAATTATTTTTGCATTACTTCTTTTTATATTTTATCTATAAAACTAGTCTGAATTTTATTCTCCTTATTTGCAATTTTAGGAATAATCTGGCTAGTCTAATCTGACTGAATAATGTGTTTTCCAAAATGAATGGATAGCCTTGCTAACTTTGGAATCTTCTTAGAAACAATTCATTTAAATATTATCCCCCAAATAACACCTAAATATTGCCACATATCCAACCATTGGACTTTTTATTCTAATAGTTTTTTGGTCATCTAGAATGAGTAGCAGAGTATTTAGAATTTTTATATTTAATCTATCATTTGATATTCTTAAAACTCTATCTTCCTATTTAGAAGATATATATCATGGAAAACAAAGAAATCTGTTTTCTAAAGGAAAACATGAATATTTTTCTTCTCCTGCTGTTTCTGGGAGGTTAACAATTCTTCTTTCTAAGTGCAGAGGGAAAAAGAAACTGTTTTCACATCTCCCTGAATTTATTTCAGAAACAGACTCTAGGAAAGAATAAAATCTGTTCTTACTGTCTGATTTTTGTGGAGGACTGGGAAGATGTGAAGACACGGGAAGAATGAGGAAGAGAGAGATTTCTCCTGTAAACAAAGCTGCATAGAAATATGAATACTGTTCTTTCACAGTTTTAGAGTAGCTTCTGCTTCCTCCAAGGTGAAAGTTACCTTTAATATACTTAATCAATATCTGGAAGAAAAATCAGGATTGAGGAGAGGCAAAGCTGAAACAGGTGATGCTTGATCTTGTCTCTTAGTGTTTAACTTATCCCCCCAACCCAACTCCGTACCACTTGTGGGCTGGATCCTGGTGATGGAGTTAGAAATAACTCTTTATACAGTCCTGCCTGGACTCAGCTCACAATCTAAGGGAGGGCATCGATGTACAATAATAATTTTAATTGAATGCAGTAAGTTCGGTGGCATAGACAGATGCAAAGTCCTATGGGAACATACATCAAGACACAGCCTTACTTAGGGAAGATGTTGGAGGATGAGTAAAAAGTTTTCTAGGTGAAGAAAGAGGGATGAGTGTGGAGGGAATTCCAATAGAAGAAGCATAAGGGCAAGGTAGTGTAGTAATTTGTATGGGGAGTAACACTCAGCCCAATATTATTGGCTCACAAAGCTGATGTGGGAATTATTAAGATAGGAGTCTGGAGAAATGGGCAGCAGTGAGAAATCGACTATGGTTAGCCTTGTGTGTTTGCTATGGAACGTGCGTAAAGTAAAAATTATAAAAGTAAAAAGAAACCCCATTTTATTTGAATAAAATCATCAAGATATTAAAACAACTGGTCATATAGTAGTATTTGTGCTTACCAATACATTAAATATAATACCTACACTAATTTTTTTAAGTAATAAGTAGGGTTAATATTTTGAGGTACCTGAAACAACTGTAATGCCAAATGCAAATATCTACAAATTTATTGGTGGCAATCTGTGAAAAAAATCATAAGTACTGTTAATGCTACCATAGTTTGTACCTACTCTCACTATCAAAGAGAATGCTAATATTAATTTTAACTAAATCTTAGTGAAAATAAAGATGCAACTTTTTTTCTCACTCAAGTTCATGGAACCCCTGATTTTTATCTTTGGACTCCTTAGAGGTTTGTTTATACACTGCAGGTTAAGAGCACCTATTCAAAATGAAGGTCAGATTTGCTCTGAAGCAGGGCCATGCTTGTGGCTATGTTAGAGATACATTTGAAGGTGGCCAGCCAACCAGAGAGGATCCTAGCAGGCCAACACAAAAGCACGAGAGAGCTATCTGCGTCTGAGTCAGGATCATACTGGTAGAAATACAGAGAAGAGGGTGACCTACAAAATATTTAGGAGTTAAGTTCCTGAGAACCTAGTGACAGACTGGATGTGGCAATGAGAAAAGCAGGAATCCCCAGGTTTACAGCTTGGGCAGTGGAGTGGGTAGTGGTGCTGAGGCAGGAAATAGGAGAAGGGGACAAGGTTGTGGTGGTGGCTATGGGGATGACGATGAGTTGTGTTTAGGCAAATTATTTGTGGTATTAGCAGTGAGGCCTTTGAGTAATGATGTCTGCTTGGCAGTTATATGAGCTAGAAGCATTGGAGGAGCTGTTTGGGCTGGAGCCACTGATTACTGAGTAAACACGTGGTTGTTAAAACTAAAGAACATAAAAAAAAAAAAAACAAAAAAAAACACAAAAAAACTAAAGAACAGACGAGGCTATTTAGGGAGAAGGTGCAGGGAGATAAGTACCATGGACAAAGGGTGGATCCCTCAGGTGCACCAATACTTAAGGAACAGGTGGAAGAAAAGAGCCCACAAAAGTGTTAAGAGAAGGAATAGTCAGAGAATTAAGAGGGGAAGCAGGAGAGAGTGTTATGATAGATACCAAGGGAGTAGAAGTTTCCAAAAGAAGAATTTGTGAGCAGTCTCAAAAGCATTAGACATATCCAGTTAGACAAGGATAGAAAACTATCCCCTGGGTTTTATGATATGATAATTGATGATTTTGGCCAGGGCACTTTTAGCTGAAGAGTAGATAGAGAAGCTAGAAGGCAGAGAGAGAGCAGTGACTTTGGGAAAGAATGAGGGGAAGAAGTGGAATCTGTGACTACAGATGACTGTCGGTTTGGAGGGAAACTAGAAAATATCTGTAATTAAAATGCAGCAGAGAGGGAGAGACTTAAAATGTACGAGAAAGATTTTAATTCTTGGACTAAGTTGCTGGAGAAATGGAGTGGCCAGATAGGGTGTTAGACCTTGGATGGTCAGATGGGCACCACAACCTCTGAAACTGAAGGAAGGTGGAAAAGCCATTAAGGTGGGAAACCTGACTGCCCCAAATTTCTTGACACAGTTTGAAGTATTAACTATGGAATGTGAGTGGCAATAGGTGGCTTGAGAAAAATGGTGAAGATCTGAAATAATTGCTGAAGGGAAGAGGAGAGGTAATTTACAGATGCCAATAAATGCATTAGTTTGCTTACCTTTCCTCAGTAATTTTTATAGACAGTGTTCTCCATACCTTTGATAAAAATATTATCTATCCATTTCTATTCCCTCTCATGGTGATTATTTTACCAACAGAGAAAGGCAGCTTGAAAAGCTCACCCTTACATGGAGAGAAGGCTCTTCCTTTCTTCTCATTTCAAAAATGGATATGGCTTTTGAACGGTGGCTTTCTAGAGATAATACTTTCAACGTGGATGGCTTTGATGATGGGGATTTTAGAAACCTAGGGAGGCCAGTGTGGTGGCCCTTGGTGAGGCACCATCCATATGAAACAATATAGGCACTGACATTTCTTCTTAACAAGGCAGACTAGAGCAAAACAGATATGGAAAGAAAAGTCTTCAAAATACACACTACTACTTGGAAAATTATTAACAACTTGAGGGAGAGTTTTTTAAATTTTTATCATTCTCAAGCTCATCATAGAGATTTTCCTTATGTAGAGTAGATCAGGGAAAATATTGATCACTGAATTTAAAATGTATCGTATGAGAACTTCCTCATGTGTTTGGTTCTTTCAACCCTTTATGCCATTCTTATCAAGTCTTGTCCATTGGAATGGGACCTCCTCAATTAGTTTCTTTACCCTTAAACTTCATCCTAAGATGTGGATAAATTTTTCATTGAATTTACTTCTCAAAGCAAGACTTACTTCTAAGACCCAGTTGGAGAAGTGAAGACCTACTGTTTTTTACTTCTAAGGAGATAAGTAAAAATAAACATAGATCTCTGGCTTGGATATATTGACCAATATGTAGTTATATTTAAATCATGAGTTAAAACATATATCTATCTGAATTTGACTTTGGCTTCTCTTTTCAAGCTTGGAGGAGACATGGAAGGAAAGGCCAGAGGTGACATACAGTCTAACACCTACTTTGGCATCCCATTTTTCTAAGCTACATGATCACACACAGAGTCTTTAACATCTCTCAGAACCATTGCCCAGTCCCACTGGCTTCTCTTCTTCTGCCCTCTTTAAATGTTGGTGTACCACAGAGATCTGTTTACATATTTGTTGACATTGTGAAACAGAGTCCTTCTTCAAGGCACGAGTTGTGTCTTATTCATTTATTGCTTCATGCATCCCTAGCACCAGTCCTGGTATTCGAGGTAGTTTTTATACAATAAATGCCAGATAGTAAATGATTGGATGAAGCTAAGCTATTGTTCATTCTTATTGAAATATTCATTTTTTTCATCTCAATTTTTTCCTAGGAAATCTTTTGTTGATTATATTTGTGAGTTATTTTGGAACCCAATTACATAGACCTATACTGATTGGTGTCGGATGTGTGGTTATGGGCGTAGGGTGTTTCTTACAATCTCTACCTCATTTCCTCATGGACCGGTAAGTATTCCAGTTTCTGATGACTTTTTAAGCTCAACTTTTGATTGTATGGAATGAAACTTGAAATTTCCTTTCTAGGAGCAATACTTCCTAAAAGCACAGAGCACCACAATGGGAGCTGAAAGATGCAGATTCCGTTCCACCAGTCTCTTGTGCTCTGGGCTGCCTTGCTTCACTTACATAGTCACATTTTTCCACCTCTGAAACAGAGATTTGGGATTTTATGGAATGGAGTCTGATGAAAAAGTTTTAGGACCTGGCAAAATGTGGGCTTATTCTTTTCCGGGGACTATTTAGACACTTCTAATTACAATGAGGTTCTGTTTACTTGTATGTAGGTCACTAAGAGACAGGCCAGTCTGAGGGTTGATTTTTACTTTAATTTTACCAAAGTAATACGTGCACCAACTTGTAAAATTAAAATTATATTGAAAAAATTTGTCCCCTGTCCCTTCAACATTTTCCATACTACTGCTTTCCTGGAGTAGCTACTTGCAACTCTTTTAGTTTTTTCTTCTGCTATTTGCCTCCATGGTTCTAAGTAAATGTTCATCCTTTTAGTTGTTAATACTTTTGTGTTATGTAATATATATTGATTTTCTGCTATAAAATTATATTCACTATTTCCATGTGGATGACTATGTAAGTATCTTTCACTGCTGAACCATACTGTCATTCCTTTCTTATATCATCTTTATTTTCCTTGGATTTAATAATTGTTCCCTTTTTATTTGAGTCATTTTCTTTTTATCTCTCACTAATCATCACCAAACTCTCCACTGATAGGGCAACATCTCAAAATGCTCATACATGTCACAGGGCTTCCTTTTTTTCTTAGAGATACCTCTATGTCACCATCAATCCTCTGTCTGAAATCTGAACTGGAATCTCCCAGGCTTGGTGCATGGCTCCTTCCTTGAAATTTTCCCTCACCATTATCCTTGGGAATTTTCCAATGACTCTTTTGTTCTTTGAATGTATCTTTTTAAGGAATATTTTGTTCTTCTTTCAAGAATGCAATGTCTTTTTCCATTTAATTTTCTTCATCTCTCTTCATTCTCTGTTTTCTCTGAATGTACAGTTTTTATTTGTTTTGTCTCTATCTTTACTATTACAGGCTTTCCCCATATATCTGGTGGTTCTTGGTTATCTATTCATATTTAAGAGAGAGGAATAACAACAACAAGCTAACTGGAAGTTCTCTCTGTGTGTATAAGTCTTAATTAACGGAGGACTTCTTTATAGGGTGATTTGTACAGCGACTGGTTATTTTTTAGTGGCTCAGAACTGCCCATAAACTATCAGCACATAGGAGTGGGAATCTCATTTTTCGGTATGTTGATTTTTTTAGCCTAATATCTGCAGTTTTTAGTATGGCTTCCCTATCCTCAGTGTCTATTTAGTCTCTTGAGCAAAGGCCACATTCAGTTGCAATGGCAGAGGATGTCTATAAGGGCTTAACTGGTCTTTATACACACTTTAAAGCAATCTTCTTTTGGGTCTATGCATACTCTCACTTTAGAAGTATCTTGCTTCTTGCCTGAAGTTTCCTAGGTTTGTGTGGCATGTGTTTAGTTGCTCTCCTACAGGCACTTACTCAGGGCTGTGTTTCTCATATCTACAAATTCAGTGATCACTCAACTGCTTTTCCATTTTCAAAATCCTATTAAACGCTCTCTTTTTGTCACATCTTCCCTTCTCTTTATCCACATGACATTATGCCTTTCCTTTCCTACTTTAAAATCCATTTATTACCATTTTGCTGATATTTGGGGAATGAGTGGGCATGGAATGAGTTATTGGGTTTTAAGTAGGTAATTTAAATGAAAAAGATATTTTAACTTTCAGATATTTCTGAAGGGATCAGAGGTTTCAAGGCAAAGAATTTCTATTGTTCTTTTATTTCCTTTCCTATCCTAACCCATCCTATCCAAGACAATGTCAGGTAATATTCAGCTATTATTTTCACTTCTTTCTACACTATGCAAAAGGTATTATTCTTTTCTTTCTTTTTTTTGTCTGAAGCTTCCATGTCTCATGGGATCATGGGTGTGGAGACAGAAGCCTTTGTCCATGATTCACAGCCAAATTCTATGGGTATGACTGGGCAGTTATTCTAAGGGGAAGGTATTTTAACCCTTTTTATTATGTTCTATAACATAGTAATTAGGACTATTGGTGACATCCAAGCATAACACTCTTTAGCTCATTTGAAACTCAGAAAGGCAAGTTTTCTTTGGCATTCTCTAATAGAAATATAGAAACCAATCCAGTGCAATTTCTAACAAAGAGAGCTGGACATATTTTCCTCCATTGTTGCAGCAAGTAATTTTCTTTCTGAGAAAGGGCATGTGGATCTTGTGGTAATTTGCCTAAGATATATGGTCACAGTTTATTAACACTTTTGTTCTCATGAGAAGAGAAAAAGGCATTACATTGTGACGCCACAGTGTTTGAGATTCTCCTAAGCTTTCTCATTATGATGGGTACATGTTTTGTTTCTCTGAGGGCATTAATGAACACGTGAAGGAATTATTGTTTGGATTCTCAGAAAGTGGGAGACGTTTTTGTTGTGTTGTTTTTCCCCCCAAAGCCTTTAATTACACTTTGTTGAGTCTATTATTTTTCTTGGTTTTTGTTCCTTATCCCACAGTAATTATTTCCAGGAAATGATCACCTAAAAATCACTGAAGGTTGATGCCAGATAATTTAAAAGGTATACCATCCCCCTACAGATAATTGAAAGCTAGCTGTCAAGTGATTGTACGTTGACAGTGAGTGGCAAGTTCTTTTCAGTGATATTAATTTATGATGATTAGGTGGCAAAATGAAATATTTCCTGGATTTGGATGTTGTGTCTTATGTGAAGCAGGAGTTGTTAACCTGCACAATGCTCACGTTGTCTTCATTGGCTCCTTAACATCACCATGTTTCCCTGTGTTCATACAGATATGAATATGAATCTACAGTTTCAGTTTCAGGCAATTTGTCCTCAAACAGTTTCTTGTGTATGGAAAATGGAACCCAGATTTTCAGACCAACAGAAGATCCATCAGGTTGTCTACTTCATTGTATTGCTTTCTGTTCAGTGAATTTGTAACTGAACACTTTCTGCTGAGGGGCTTTGAATGTTATTAAGTTTGGTTAAGTGAGTAAGGTAAATGAACAAAAGAAATTTTATTTTTTTTCAGAGATTTTCGAGGAGATCATGGAGGGAAATAGAAATGGCTCATAATTTAAATGTTATTCCTCTTATATTTGAATATACTTAATGTCTTATCTGTTCTTTGTAATGGTTATTTATTTATTTATTTATTTATTTATTTTTGCTATGGTTATTTAAAAATAAGTCAACAACATCTATCCAAGGACGACTTAGAGTTAATTCCATAGAGGAAAACATCTTAGAAAGATGGATTTAGGCTGATGATTTGTAAGTGAGTAATAGAAATAAAAACAAAAAGATGTGCGTTATAGCCCTGATCTTCTATAGCAGAGAAAGCAGGCAAGTATGCTATAACCTTGATTTACTCTATTCTCTTTCTGCTGAAGTAGGAACTTGTCTTTCTGCCCTACTTCTTCCTCTTTACCAGAGATACTAATTTATAGTCTGACAAAATAGTGGTGCTTCTTCTGGCTTTCTGAGGGCACAGGCACCAACATGCCAGCTTCTACTCCTTCATATGTTAAGGGACCTCCTATATAATCTTCTGGTGATGCTTAGTCTGGGAGTAACCCATTGATTGACCTCAGACCAGATGCTTAGTCTGGAAGTAACCCATTGATTGACCTCAGACTGGATGCTTAGTCTGGAAGTAACCCATTGATTGACCTCAGACCAGAACTTTCTCTTCCTGTGATGGGGACATTTTTATGCTGGATTCATATCAGTGGGGGTTATATTGGTCCCCAAGGCTGGGAATTTCACTGCTGGCATGGAATCAGAGGAAACTAAACAGCTTCTCGGAGTATAAGAATAGCTGTCTCAGAAGCTCTAAGCCAAAGCAACTCTCTGGGGAAAGAAAGAAACAAACAAACAAAAAAAACCAGTGACATCAATGGTGGCCTATATTCTCTTCTTAAACTGACTTTTGCCAAAGACTGACCTAGGTCTTATTTTCTATTTTTTTAAAATATGCATTGTAATATTTAAATCAAAACCTTTCCAGTCTAGTGAATCTCCAGAAAAGTACATTAATTCTTTGATCACCTGACATGTTAAATTTTGTCCTGGAGTAGGCCTAGAATTTGCCTATGATCTCTAGACACAAATCACTGCGCTCACCATAAAAAAAAAAAAAAAAAAAAAAAAAAACAACAACACATGAATACCCAGAAATGGACATTATGATTTTCTGGACTGGGAAAGACTGAGAGATAAACCTCATAAGATATTTCCAGGCCCAGCTGTGCTCAGGAGCCTCACATCTGTGAGTACCTGGGCAGATTATAGGACACAAAAATAAGTTGTCATTCACTTTCCTGAAAACATGACTCCACAGAGTATCCTCTTGGCTTGATAGCTATATTGGCTTAGAACAGAATTGCCTGTTTTTAGACAACTGCCTATCTTCCTCCCTTTCATTCTTTTGACCTACTCTTTGTTATTTTACTAAGCAGTACTGCTCCAAGGATTGGGGTGGGTTTCTCTGTTAAAAATTATTTGGTGGTTACAGTATACAGTAGGTTCTACAGAGAAAATGTGATTACTACCCAGTTAAATATTTTTAGTTTCTATAAAGTAATTAGAGCTGTAGAGAACTCAAACTTCAGTGAGATTCTTATTTAAATCTTACAGTATCAGTTCTAGGGAGAGATATTTGTGGTTTTTTTCTCTTCCCTAAGTTAGTGTAGAAGTGGGGTAGCTCTCACAGCAGCTAACTGGGTTCGGTAGTTGATGATAAACGATCTCTCTGGGGGGAAAAAAGTTCTGGCTTTTAGTGTTTGTCAATTTCTGTGCGTAAATACTGTCATCAAACTACCAATGTGTTGCCATTAAATACTAAATTGAAAAGAGATGTGTATACTATTCATCTATCCCAACCCAGTAGGAATTGGCTCCAGGATATGACTTACATTTGACCATACCTAAGTACCCTGTCAGAAAATGCAAATGGGATGGTCCAATGATACATTGCTGACGTAGTAGTATAAATCATTGACAAGATGCCATGCCACATAAGAACTGTGAAATGTTTACCAAAAATGTAGAATTAAGTATTACCGATACTTTACTACCAAATCACTAATACAATATCTTTTTTCTTCTTTAAATACAGACTGTGTGAAAGAAGTTAAATCATTAATGTGGGTATATGTACTAGTAGGAAATATCATACGTGGAATTGGTGAAACTCCCATCATGCCTTTGGGTATTTCCTACATAGAAGACTTTGCCAAATCTGAAAACTCTCCTTTATATATTGGTGAGTTTGAAAATCTGCCTTAGCCTCTTCTCAGGAAAGGAAGTTCCTTACAGGTAGATGTCAATTACTCGGACTCAGTGATTTCCAGAATGACGACCAGAGTACCTTGGCACAGCTGGTAATCAATAAAAGTTTACTGAATTGAGCTAACTCCAAATAAGCCACTTTTCTGACTCTGCTTTTTGCTATTAAAAAATACCACTCATCTAGTTGCCCCCAGAGTTCTCTTTGACTCATCCATTTCTTTGGCACCACTCTATATCAAGTCTGTTAAGTGATTTAACAATGTTTTCTTTAAAATGTCTCATATTCAAAATCTTTCTATTTTCATTACCTCTATTTTTGTTCGGGTCTACTTCATCTGTAGATTATTATAACATCTTCATTAGCCACTAGCATTTTCTTTCAATTTCTTATAAACATTTTTACAGTATATTTTTTCTCAAATATTGTTTTAATCATGTCTTCTCTACCATGTCTATAAAACATGCTGGCTCTTTCTTTACTAAATTTGAGCTCTCCACTTATTACTCAGTCTATTTAGTTTCTTCACAATCTCTCCATGCTATTCAGGCTTTTTCAGATTCTTCACAAATATCTGGTTCATACTTTTGGGAATGTTTCTTGAAATTTCCTTTTCTAAAATCCATCAGTGTCACATCCCACAATAACCAAAATAAGATCTACCTTCTTATGTTGTCTTCCAATCTCCTAAATGTTCTTAATTTGTTATGAATAACTTATTTGTATTCTTTAGTTGTTCCATCTGTTGTTATTTACAAAAGTGTAACTTTTAGTCTGGAGACATTTTGCTATTAATGTAGACAAATATTTTAAGAACCAGAAATGTCAAAGAGGGTGAAAGAGGATCAGAACAGAGCTACCCATAACGAAGATAGGTCAAAATGTTTAGAGATCCTTACCTCAAGTAATCTTTGGCACTTTTTGATCACTCATTGATTTTGCAATAAGATTTTGCAATGTTTTTCTTTTCTGTCCTTTCAAATCCCTTCACGTACTTATCTTGAAAGAATACAAATGCTTGCCTGCAATAAATTAACAAACACCTTGTTATAATCTGTATTTATTTATTCAGTAAATACTAGGGCGTATAATATATGGAAATAATGGTAATAATCTCTATATGTACTAAGATGAATAAGACAGAGTCCATATAAGGTTTAGTATATAAATAACTACATAATTATTAATCAGCCAAATCTGATAAACACCTGTGTGTAATTAAATTTGAAAAAAATTAGACTTAAGAAAATGAAATAAATGTGCACATGCATATAATTAAATAACTATAAATCAATAAGCTATATCATGGAAGAAAATAGTTCCATGTATGGCTTTGAAGTTTAGGAGAGAATATAAAAGCTAGAAATGAATTTTGAGAATCACTTATATAGAGAAAATAAATGAAATTGAGGGAGAAAAGTGAGTTTTGTCATGGGAAGCCATATATATAGTGAGAAATCCTAGGCTAAAACACTAGGGAACACGTTTAGTTATTGAGCAGAATAGGAAGAAGAAAATCAAAGGAGTAGTCACAAGGGAAAAAGTAAACAATAAGTGCATAGTTTTGCGAAAGTATTAGGAGGAAAATTCAAAAGAGGAGCTAGCCTGCAATGTCAAATAACATAAAGAGTTAGGAGAATGGAGACCAGAAAAGGACACCAAGTAAGTGGCAAAAAGAACACTGGTGCTACCTGCAAGTATTTTGAGAAGAATGTGGAAGGATTTGAGTAGATTCAGGAAGTGGTGAGGGTATAAATGCAGAGTCTAATGAAAGGAAAGAAAGCAGGGTGGATGTGAGATACTGTAATCAGTGAATAGGGGAGACTGAACCAACACAACAAAAGGCATGTTCAGTTGAGCAAGACCTCAGAGAAGATAGAAGGGTTGAGGTCAAGAAGTCAGGTCTGTGTACAGGAGGGGGCTAGCCTACGGAACCATGGAGAAGGCAGAAGACATATTTTGAAGTAAGGAGGAACAAGGTGAAGAAACTGGAGAAGCTGTCTGAGTTTTCAGCAGTGGGGAAGGCTCAGCCTCGATTCTGAATTGTAGATAAGCCATGAGCTCACTGATGATGAAATTCCAGATGAGTAAGAAGTCTTGAGGGCAGAGGGGACTGATGAGAATGGAAGACAAGAATGTGAAGGATAAGAAAGGAGATCATGATGAAAGAAGAGAAGTAACAGTAATGGTGAGGACATAGCCAGAAGACGTTTCAAATCAGAAATGTGGGAGTGAAAGCTTTCCGAGGAACATGCCACGAGAAATTTATTGTAATGTGGTGTTGGTCTAGAATTCCTCCAAAAATGTGCCTATGGAAAGCAGCAAAAGAATTTCACTCTGTGTTGTGGTTTTGTCAACAGCATGATCCCAGCCTATGCTGCTACAGCAGATTTACCTGCGATTTATCATGCAAGAGAATTTGGAGGCCTAGAGAAAGTGGTTTTAAATTTTGAGGTTCTTTTTCTCCACATTAACAGAAGTAAACTTGTTACTTATATGTACACAAAGCTTAATTTTCTTACAAATTGAAAGTTTAAGGCAAACATATCTGAGGCAAAAACAATGCAGTCTTCAGACTCTTTACGGAATCAGGACTCTTTAAAGTGGGTATATAACTATACTATAACTTTATGTTTTCATTTATTTTTAGGGTTTGTAGAAACAGGAGCTATCATTGGTCCTTTGATTGGACTTTTGTTAGCATCATTCTGTGCAAATGTTTATGTTGACACTGGATCCGTGAACACAGGTAATTCAATAAAATTTATTTATAGGTCTAGAATATACAAATCACCTTCAGTTATGTTATCACAGGTAGTTCTTGCTTTAGTGGGTCAACTCGGTGAGTTGACTAATTCTACTTTTCAGGTGTGCAAACTGGAGTAAAGGAGTTTAAATAATTTTTCGAATATTTCAAACCAGTGAGCAAGAAAACAAGTTAAAATGCTGACCTTCTGACACAAAATCCAGTGCTCTTTCTATTGTGCCACAACCATGTTTCCTTTTTTCAAGAGATATAAAGACAACGTAGATCTGAATTTCTTTTAATCAAATAATCATTTATATGTAGTTAAATAGAGCTTGTAGTCATTTCATAAATATCTGTTTGTAAATTCCCTACAGGAGAGGACAGAGAACCAAAATAATTTATTGCTAGGCAATATTGTAATACCACATATTGTCAGACAAATTTTATGAATGTCTAAATTGTTTACAAGGTCTGTACTTGGATAAAACCTGAGAACTGGTTTTATTAATAATATAATAGTAATATTAATAATTTTCTATAGTTCATGCAGGAACTCGTGACCAGCTAATAAAATGTGTATATTTCTTTACAGATGATCTGACCATAACTCCCACTGATACTCGTTGGGTTGGTGCATGGTGGTTTGGCTTTTTGATTTGTGCAGGAGTGAATGTGCTCACTGCCATTCCTTTTTTCTTTTTGCCCAAAATGCTTCCAAAGGAAGGACTAAAGAATAATGCAGACATCATTAAAAATGACAAAAAAGAGAAACAAAAAGAAGAGGTCAAGAAGGAAAAGGATGGAATCACTAAAGGCAAATATAAAAATTCTAAATACTATATAATTTACTTTTTGTTTTTTAGAGATGTGTCTATATTTCATCCTAACACTATATCACGCTAGGGTTCATTAAGACAATTTGTCATTAACAGTCAGTAGTCAATAATGTCTAACAAGTCTGAGTCTTCCTGTGCTACTACTTGGAAATAAGTAATATAATTTGGAAGCCAAATTATCTGTAATCAGTATGTATATAAAATTTTATTTCAATTCAGACACTAAATAAATTCCCATTTGCTTTTAAAAGATCTTTTTTATAGAGAACATAGGTCTAATTAAAAAAAAAGAAATTCGAACTGAGAACAAAAGGAGGAAAAACTACACAATATTGCAAGTAAATATATAGTTCTGAAATAAAAAAATGTTAGCTTGACTGTGAGCTTCCTGCAAGTTAAGGCAGGAAAAGAAAACACGATAGGTCACATAACTCTCTATATTTGATAAAGAGAAGAAAAATAATTCATAAAGAGAAAGTGTTCTCCAAGTAACACACTGTAAAAAAAGAAAAACTCATCATATGATGTATAATGCAGGCAATATTGAACCATGTAGTAGTTTTCCAGCAAGTGCAAATGCATATTTTATAGAACAGGAATTTTTTTTTTCCTTTTTGGATACATCTTCAATAAAAGTTCAAAAAATAATTTACAGAAAGTGTTTCTATGGGAAACTAAGCTAAAGTAGTCTAAGTATTTAATGTTCAAGAACACTGATTCTCAAACTTGTCCATATGTTGGAATTACCTGGGAAATTTAAAAAAAATGACTGATGCCCAGAAATACTGTAGTATTCCCAGGAGGTCTGATTTAATTAGTACAAGGTATGGCCTGGGCCTTGGAATTCTTAAAGATTGTTCATTTACAAGGTAAAGAGGGACTCAGTCTCCTTATCTGTAAAATGGGGTAATAACAGTACTTACTATTACAGAGTTGTTGTGTGAGGGTAAAAGGAGGTCTGGCACATATTACTATTATTACTGCTATTAGTATTAGTGTTATTATTGTTGATGTTGCTACTTCTACCAACACCCATAAATTATAAGACCAGTTTGCACAGAATTTTTATTAACAATTATACATTCACTTAAACTACTATCAAACATAATACTTCTCAGATCATTAGAAGCCAATCCAGAATGTTTCAAATTCCAGAGTGGTCATGATTATATTAACAATTCCTTTGGAAAAGCTGATATGGACTGATAGAAGATTTTAACACAGAATATTGTTTGTGATCTGCAAAGATCAGTTGGGGAAAGAACTGAGCTTAGTATGAGACATATAGAAAAGAACTGGAGCTTAGTATGAGACATACAGAAAAGAGATTTGAACTGCTGAGACTCATCTATTAGGACAGAGATGTCAACAAACATGGACAACTTAAAAAGCTCCAAAGTGCTCTGAACACAACTTTCTCACCTGCCATGTACTTTATTCATAAATATGAATTCTACAGCTTAAAATAGGTTTCTTTGCATTAAGCTATGCTTCCTTCTCTCTCTCAATTTGTTTATTTGTTGATTCTTTGGATTTCGGGCAGCTTATTGAGCAAAAAATACACAATAAGTAAGGAAATCAAGACAAACAATGTGAAGATAGGAAAAGTGAAAACTAATTATAAGTGAGACTTTGACCCCAAAATGGTGGCAGGGTGACCTTGGAACATTTCCAAGAGATGGGCCACAAATTTGGCCCTAAGCTGTGTCAGTCCACACCAAAAGGGGAACGTTGGGGTTATATCATTTACATAACCCTTAGTATGTACCAAATGAATCAAGATCTCCGAGAGTGGAACCTGGGGGTTTGTAGTTTAGAAGATCTCCAGGTGGTTTCATTGAGTATCCAGTGTGCATCATTGACAGGACCAAATAGTTGTTCTGAAGAAGTAGAAAAATACCCAGTACTTGAGAAAATTATATCCCATGAATTTCCACATATTTTAAATGGTCAGGAACAATAATATCAATATTTGAGTGTGAACTTTATCAAGTTGATCTCCTTCCAAACTTTAAAAAACAGAACAAGCATCTTTCAGTCTAGATGATCCCTAGAAAAGAGAGGTTATTAATAGAAGGGAAAAAAAGGAACTGGTGTGAGTGCAGACAATATTTTGGTCATGTTATAGCTTTTCCTTAAGACACAATAACAACTTAATGATGGTAAAACTTATGTTCTGCTCCCTGCCCAGTCAGCTGCATTACTGAGTTGCAGAGGGTACCAAAATGATATAACTTTAGTTTTCAAGAGGTAACAAAACAAAATAAAGCAAAGCAAAACCCAGTATGTACACTATAAGCAAAAATCTTAATTTGGGAGGGGAGGTTGATGTTTTAGAAAAAGTCAATCTTAAAATGCAAAGCCAAGCTAGTTTAACACTATTGTCATTCTTTCATTTCAGATTTTTTACCGTTCATGAAAAGTCTTTTATGCAACCCAATTTACATGCTTTTCATACTAATAAGCATTGTACAGTTCAATGCATTTGTTAATATGTTCACCTTCATGCCTAAATATCTGGAACAGCAATATGGAAAATCAGCTTCAGATGCAATCTTTCTAATCGGTATGTTTATTCTTCTCTATGTTAGTAGCTCACTTTTTTTTTTTTTAACCATGAAAGGGTAAACAGTGTGATGATGGGTCTAGGAAACTCCTAAATTGAAATATGTGGAGATGTTTCTGTCCCTGGTACATTTCCCCCTTCCATTCTCCAGGGAAATCCACAAACGGTAGGAAAGGAAAGAAGCCAGGAAATCCTGGCTTTCTTTTATGCTCTCTTGCCGGTCAGAACACAAATTGAAAATATTTTTGGAAATTTTGGGGAATGTACAGATTAGAGATAATTTTCAGAGAGGCAAACAATTAATGTAAAAAGGAAAACAATGTTAATTCATTAGGAGTCTGAGTTTTACTCTCTTAACTCCAGGATATGAATTCCATGTCTCTCCTTAGTTCCCTGGGCCCCCTGGTGGTTTGAGGTGTCTTTGCAGCTCACGCATTCTGATTTTCCTGTGACCCCATTAACTACAGTGGCTCTCTTCCACTTTGGGTTTCTCCTGAGAGTTTTTACTGTTTTGAAAAGTGAATTTCCCAGACTACCTGCATCCACATCACCTAGAATGCTTGTTAAAATTTCAGATACCTGGTGCCCACCTAAGACATACTAAATTAGACAATCTGTTGGGGGATTCTGGAATGGACTTTTAACCACTCTCCCAAGAAAATGTGATGGGATTCACTTACCCTGGCATTGTAAGAATGCAACCAAGGGCTGTCTTTTCCTTTTTCTTGATTTTTTCCCTTTTTTTTAGGGAGAGGGCACGAAGTGTAAATATACTTGATAACCACGGGTTCACAAAGTGACCTTCCAAAGTACCTTGAGTTAAGTCAAATTCTTAATGACTAGAGAGGGTATAAACAACTGCAAAATCATATTACTCACAAACTACTGGTCAACTTTGACTTGTCAGTCCTACCTGAACCATTTGAAAGAAATGTAGATCATGATCCCTGCATACAAGAAATTTACAACCTACTATAATTAATTAAATGAAGGATAGTGATATCAGTCTTCAAAATATACTTTGACATTGTGGGTCATTTAAAAAATCTCTCTGTACATAATATGTAACTAAATGGAGATAAAATTCAATCAGCTTTCTTCACTGTGAGTTGGACCTAAATGGTTTCTTATGCAAGACATATTAGATAAAAGTGATATCTTATTTGTTCTTTTGCTAAGTCACTTTGTAAACAACATTTCACTTACATTTATAGGCATTTATAACTTGCCTCCAATATGCATTGGATATATAGCTGGTGGTTTAATTATGAAGAAGTTCAAGATTACTGTCAAACAAGCTGCCCACATAGGATGCTGGTTATCTTTAATTGAATATCTTCTCCATTTTTTGTGTTTTCTCATGATCTGTGATAATTCTTCAGTTGCTGGCATAACTACCACTTATAAAGGGTATGTTGTTTTCTAATGAACGTCATACTTTTAGAACAGTTAATAATATATTTTATTCAATGATTACCCATGACCAGATCATTAGCTAATTGGAATTAATAACAATAATCCATGGTCTTTATCTTTCCTCCATCTGTCAATTGTAAGCCTATCCCTCCAGGCTCTAGGCTTATTAAAGAGCCTGGGAACATATTATAGGGTTAGTGAGTTTATGATTGCACGTGTGTGTGTGTGTGTGTGTGTGTGTGTGTGTCTTTTTGATATCCTAGTAGATATTAAAGTTGATATCAAAGAAGCTACTGATAGTTTTTTAGGTTGTATTAGGATATGTGATCCATATATTTTATACTCTCATAAATGGGTAAAATTAAGAATTAACTATATAGTCTCAATCACCTTTATATGTTTCCACAATTGGCTTACATCCAGCATAACTGAATCCTTATACATGATATATTAATTCATATGTAAATTCATACATTTCATTTGTCTAAGTAGGTCTCTATCATTGAATAGTTTTGGGTTTGTATTTGAAGGTTATCTGAATTTATAGGAAAGTTATGCATAGTAATGTTTTCTCTTGACTTTTTGATAATATACATCCTAACAGATGTGAGATGATATCTTGTGGCTTTGATTTTTATTTCTCTGATGATTGGTGATATTGAACATCCTTTCATTTACTTATTGGCCATTTGTATATCTTCTTGGGAAAATTTTCTATTTAGTTCCTCAGCCCATTTTAACACTTGGTCTTAGCAAAAAGGCTGAGAAGCGATCCTCTGTCCATTTTAAAATCAGATTGTTTGCTTTTTTGCTACTGAGTTTTATTAGTTTTTTAAAATATATTTTGGATATTAACCCTTTATCTGATGTATGATTTGCAAATATTTACTCCCATTCCATAGGGTGTCTTTTCATTTTGTTCCTGATTTCCCTTGCTGTCTGGAAGCTTTTTAGTTGATGTAGTTCCACTTGTTTATTTTTGCTTTTGTTACTTGTGCTTTTTGGTGTCCAATCCAAAAAATCATTGCCAAGACTGATGTCAAGGAGTTTACCCACTATATTTTCTTCTAGGTCTTAAATTTAAGGCTTTAATCCATTTGAGCTTATTTTTAGATAGATAGGGGTCTAGTTTCACTCTTTTGCATGTGGCTGTCCAGGTTCCCAATATCACTTATGAAGAGAGAAAGGTCTCCACAGTAAATTCTTGGTTTGCTTGTTATAATTAACTACATATGCATGGTTTATTTATGGGTTCTCTATTCTGTTCCATAATCTTTGTGACTCTTTTTTATGCTAATACCATACTGTTTTGATTACTATAGCTTTGTAAAATAGTTTGAAATCAGGAAGTGGGATACCTCCAGCTCTGTTCTTCTTTCTCAAGATTGCTTTGACTACTATTTTGGGGATCCATAAAAATTTTAGAATTGTTTTTCTACGTTTATGAAAAATGCCACTGGAATCTGTTTAGGGATTGCACTAAATCTGCAGATTGTTTTGGGTAGTATGGACATTTTAGCAATATTAATTCTTCCAATCCATGAGCATGGAATACCTTTCTATTTATTGGTGTCTTCCTCAGTTTCTGTCATCAATGTCTTGAAGTTTTCAGTGTACAGATTCTCACATCCTTGGTTTAATTTATTCCTTAAGTATTTATTCTTTTGATGCAATTATTGGATTGTTTTCTTAATTTCTCTGCTAATGTTTTGTTGAGGCTGAGCTTCACAAGGTGCTGACCATGCTCTACTGTTGGGCAAGGTTGCTGGCCAGGCTCTCTGGAGGAGAGAGGCCTCTAGTTGTATCCCAGAGTTAGGTGGTGCTAGAAACTGCATCCTCTGGTTGGGCAGGATCGCTGTCCACATTCTCTCATCAGGTGAGGCTGCAAGCTCTGCTCCATGATTGGGCAGAGTCACTGACTAGGTTCCCTGCCTGAGCAAGGCTTCAGGCTATGTTCAGCAATTGGGTAGGGCCAAAGGCTGGGCTCTGCTGCTGGCTGGTGCTGTAGTCTGGGCTCTGAGGCTGCCCAGGGTTGCTGTTCAGGCTCCTTGTTTATGTGGGGGCCAGAGATTATGCTTAATAGTAGGGCAGGGCTATTAGCTTGGCTCCCAGACTGAGCAGGGCTATAGGATGGACTCTATGGCTTAGGTTCTCTGGCCAGGCTTTCTGGATGGGTGGGACTGGAGGCTATGCTCAGTAGTTAGGCAGGATTGTGAATTTGCTTCCCTGCCCAGATGGGGCAGTTGAACTGTCTCCACAGCCAGTATGGCCTGTTGACTAGGTACCCAAATCAAGCAGAAGTGCCAACTGAACTCCTTGGCTAAAGGAAGTCATCATTCAGCTCTGTAGATGAGCAGAACCACAGGCTGGGATTTGTACTTGGACAATGCTGCAAGTAAGAACACAGTCCACCAAGATCTGAGTGCTGGTTGCTGTAATCCCTGCCCCCCTCTACTTCTCTATCTAATTCTTAATGAGTGAGGCCTGCAGATTCTCCCAGTGATCCTCATGAGGTGAGACCTGAATGGGCCTCCTGGGAAACAACCTATAATGCTGAGGGAGCTTGATGTCATCCTTGGGCTCTCTTTTCCTACTGGTAAAATTGTAGGTCCAGGAGGGCCCTCTCAGTGTGGTGTTATGCTGACCTGGGGTTGGGGCAATTTGATTAGAGTGTAACTACTCCTTGTACCCTTCCAGTGTGGTCTTTCTAGGTCTTCATGGTCCAACGGGGTGCTTTAGCCTCACCCTCAGGTTCTGGGATTTTCACAATGGTATCATATCTATGGATAGCTGCTAATTGGTCTTCTTGGGAGGGAGACTGGTCAAGAACACCTATGTTGCCATTTTGTTGACCACTGGACATTCTTTACACTAGGAGAATGTATTTGTTTACTCAAGTAATTAGGTTTCTAAAGTTAAATGTACTATCTGCATTACAAATTGAGCTTACAGATTTTGATCTTCAAGGTTGTTTTCAAACATAAGATCTCTTGTTACTTACTACCATATGGATTAACCATAGGGATTAGGTCATCTTCATTTTTGAGTTCTAATAATACCTGAAAAAAACACCCTCTATATGGAAGGCACTCAGTTAATGCCTGTTTTTTGGCTATTTGTTTACCTGAAGTAAATCATTGAAAAGTGGCTATGTGTCACCAAAGCAGGTTTTTTTCACACATCGATGTTGGGAAGATTTCTGTTTCTACTTTGGGGAGGAGAGGAAATATAATTTTGGATTAAGATGAAAAGAGGAAAAAGAAAATGCTCTAATAGTCTTTCAATATCCATGCATTATTTTAAATCATTTCAGAATGCAACAAGATCTATACGTGGGAAATACCATCCTTGCTGATTGTAACAGGGATTGCAACTGTCCAACTAAAACATGGGACCCTGTGTGTGGAAACAATGGTGTGTCATATATGTCAGCTTGTCTTGCTGGCTGTGAGACATCTGTTGGAACAGGAATAAATATGGTAACACATTCTATTGGTCTTTTTACAGAACTTTGGTTTTATGCATTCCATTGGAACTTTCCAACATGAACTGGCTCCACATTTGATAAAAGTAAAATTAATGTCTTTCTGTATGTTCCGTTGATTTGCCTTTTATTTCATAAATCTTATTTTAAACCTCCACAGTGTCTGACCACTAATCATTTTCTTTAATTAATTTTTTAATTATTTAATTTTGAGTATAGTAGACATTGATCACTGATCTTTAATTTCATAGCAGTGACATCGTTACTCAGATTCATTTTTTTGCATTTTTAAAATTTTATTATGTTATATTAATCACCATACATTACATCATTAGTTTTTGATGTAGTGTTCCATGATTCATTGTTTGCGTATAACACCCAGTGCTCCATTCAGTATCATATGCCCTCTTTAATACCCATCACCAGGCTAACCCATTCCCCCACCCCTCTCCCCGCTAGAACCCTCAGTTTGTTTCTCAGAGTCCATAGTCTCTCATGGTTCATCTGCCTTTCAATTTCCCCCCCTTCATTTTTCCCTTCCTACTATCTTTTTTTTTTTTTTAACATATAATGTATTATTTGTTTCAGAGGTACAGGTCTGTGATTCAACAGTCTCACACAATTCACAGGGCTCACCATAGCACATACCCTCCCCAATGTCTATCACCCAGCCACCCCATGGCCTCCTACCCCCACCACTCCAGCAACCCTCAGTTTGTTTCCTGAGATTAAGAATTCCTCATATCAGCAAGATCATATGATACTTGTCTTTCTCTGACTTATAACCCTCCTACACTGTTGGTGGGAATGCAAGCTGGTGCAGCCACTCTGGAAAACCGTATGGAGGTTCCTCAAAAAGTTGAAAATAGAGCTACCATACAATCCAGCAATTGCACTCCTGAGTATTTACCCCAAAGATAACAAATGTAGTGATCTGAAGGGGTATGTGCACCCCGATGTTTATAGCAGCAATGTCCACAATAGCCAAACTATGGAAAGAGCCAGGTGTTCATCAACAAATGAATGGATAAAGAAGATGTGGCATATATATAATATATATTTCAGTCCAGAGTATTTTTAAAATACACACACACACACACACACACACACACATACACACACACACTGGAATATTATGCAGCCATCAAAAGGAATGAAATCTTGCCATTTGCAGATAATTCATTTTAAAAATACTCTGGACTGAAATATTTTTATCATTGAGATGAAGTTGGTGGTTTTGATCTCAATTATCCAGCTAATTGCTTTGACATTTTTTTCCTTTTCTGTATTTTTCACATTCTGACAGCTTTTTAAGAAAATGGAATTAGGCTTTTTGTGTATGTGTGTGCCTAAAAAAATGTTATAATATTTAAAATGTTGGTTGGTAATAAAGTAAAATATAAATTTTGATTCTTATGAAAACCTGGAAACATACAAGAATTTTTAAAGGATAGAATATCCTCTGTTTTTGAAATGAACTATATTTTTTGAAACAAAGCTTTAGTCATAAGAATCTAAATATTTCCACTGAGTATTCTGAAACAAATTTTGTCATACTTCCTGTTGTAACAAAACAGTGTATGTTTTTAAAAGACGTGACTTTAGAATAGCTGAGCTATTGCAAATTTACTCCACATATTCAGAAAGAAATGCTTTTTTACTAAAACCATCCTTCCATGTTTTGTTTTATGCTATAATCCTGAGAGGCATCATAATAGAGATGAGAGTAAAGGGAATAAACAGTCTCCATCTTGATCCAGTTGGCTATGTAGAAAATATCTGTGATTTGTGTTCAAAATTTTACTTTCTTAAATAGGATAATATATTATTTTCACACAGGTGTTCCAAAATTGTAGCTGCATTCAAACATCAGGAAATTCATCTGCAGTTCTTGGGCTGTGTGACAAAGGACATGACTGTTCCATGATGCTCCAGTACTTTTTAATCTTGTCAGCAATTGGCAGTTTCATTTATTCTTTATCTGCCATACCTGGATATATGGTTCTCCTAAGGTACAAGAATCATTTTCTTTATTTGGATTCCTTTCTGGTCCTTAATTAAGGTAACTTTTCTCAGAAAGCCACTTGGAGCCTACATTATCTAAGAATTCAGTGTTTTCATATATCATTTAATAAGAGTTTTACAGGGCGCCTGGGTGGCTCAGTTGGTTAAAGCGACTGCCTTCGGCTCAGGTCATGATCCTGGAGTCCCCGGATCGAGTCCCACATCGGGCTCCCTGCTCAGCAGGGAGTCTGCTTCTCCCTCTGACCCTCTTCCCTCTCGTGCTCTCTATCTCTCTCATTCTCTGTCTCTCAAATAAATAAAATCTTTAAAAAAAATAAAAAAATAAGAGTTTTACATTAGGCATTGTTGAATTTTACAAAGTTTTATAGTTCAGGAATATGAATATTCATCTTTTGGCATTTCTCTCCCTATATTTCCCTTCCTTATTTTTTGCAGTTAAATTATGTGAACCTCTCATTGTTTAACACAAGAGACACATTTATATTTTAGCGTAAACTGTATGAAATGGTCATTTCGATAGGTAGAGTGGTTGCCTAGCAGTCATTTTATATGGCTCAAGCTATAAGATAGCAGAGTGTAAAGCTCTCAGAAGTTTCACCAGTTAATATCTACAGGGCATTAAACAGGTCACTTGATCTGAGCTTCATTTCCTTAAATCAAAAATAGGCATAATAATAAGTGTTCCACTCTTTTTACAAGGCTATGAGAGACAAATGATGAAGGGCTTTCTCAAATGAGGAAACTGCAGAGCTCCAATTCAAACTTAGGTGTCCTACAAATGTGTTCATGGAATTCCAGTATTCTTCATGCCTAGTAAACAATCATAAACATTCCTAGTAAACAAAATTTGCATCTTTTTCTCTTTTCTTCATATATTATTGGAACTTAGAAGCAGAGTTAAGATAATAACTTCGATTCTCAGTTCGTAGCACATTATCCTCATAGGCTGGGACAAGTTTTCATGTTTTATTTTGTTTTTTTTTTCATTCCATTTTTCACTTCCTCTTACCATATGTACCCACATGAATATTATTATAGCTATATCATATATCACAGGTATTGTGCTATACAACTTGTTTTGGTTCATAAGGCACAGGCATACATAAATTCACCAAGTACTGCTAGGACTTACGAGTTATTCTCACACCTTCACTGCATGGGAGTTCCTACCTCCTTCAGCCTCACTAACACTTGGAATTATCTAACCTTTGGACTTTGACTACTCCAATGGGTATAGAATGGTAGCTCACTGATGTTTTAATATGTGATTTCCTGATTCAGTGTGTTTAAGCATCTCTTCAAATTTTTTTTAGGTATTTAGGCTTCTGCTTCAAGATGCTTGTTGGTTTTCTTTGTCCATTTTCTATTACATTTCCTGTATTTTTCTTGGTGATTTTATTGATTACTGTCTAAATTATAAATATTAATGTAATATTGTTTACATGATACAATTATCTCCTACTCTCTCATCTTTAATTTCTCCACAGCATCTTTCATGAAATTAAATCCTAAATTTTATTGTACTGAAATCCAACTATTTTCTTGCCTTGGGGAGAGTCATATTTTATAAGTGTTTTTACATTCCTAATTTATAAAAATATTCACCTAAATTTTATGCTAACATTTATAGCTTCACCTTTTACATATGGTTCTTTAAACCATCACAAGTCTACTTTTATGTGTGGTGCAAGGGAGACAGTTGTTCAGTTATTTTTTCCATATAATAGTTTTCCTAACATCAATATAAATAAGAGGTCCCTTCTCTGTTGATTTGTGGTAGCACCTTTATCATATCTCATGTTTTGATATTACATGAGTCTATTTTTCACTTTTATTCTTATTCCACATTTTATCTGTTCTCATACTGGTACCATATTGATTTTATTACTTTGATATTGTGTATGTTAATATCTTGTATGGTAACTCTTACTCACCCGCCCACCACTGTCACCTTTACTCTTTTTTCTTTTCTTCACAAATTGATTTAGCTACTGATGTATGGATCTTTATACTCACATAGGAATTTTGATGGAGTTTGTGTGGATTCCATAGATTAATTGGAGAATTGGCATCAAATATTTGTGAAAATGGAATATCTTTCCATTTATTTAAATTTTCTTCAATAGATACTATACACACATAATCCAAATATATACATACATACAAGATTATATCATTTATAATTATAAACATATACATATCCAAGTATGTCTGTCCACACACAGAAATGGATATGTTTGTATGGATACATACGGGTATGTATTTATTTGTGATTGTAAGTGGCACTATTTTCTCTTACATTTTCTAGTTGGTTATTGTTGATTTAGAGGAGTGCTGTTAATTTTTTAAAGTTTAGTTTTTAATCCAACAACTTAGTCTAATAATTTGTTGATTTTCTTAGGCTTTCTATATAGAAATATGTGTAAATATGGAGAGTTATAGCTCTTCACTTCTAAACCTTACACATCTTAGGCTTTTTAAATTTTCTTATCATCAACTTGGATCTCCAAAACTGTGTTGAACGATGGTGGTGATAGTGAGTATTCTTGTACTTTTCTAATCTTAATGGAAACCATATGAATTTTTCCATTATACTTGCTGTAGATTTTCAGTATATAGTTTTCATCGAGTTTCTAAGTCTTTAATATTAAACTTTATTAAATGTATTTTTCTGCATCTATGATTCTATAATTTTTCTACTCAGTATTTTTAGTGTAGTAAAATATAATGGTAGTTTTTTTATGTTAAAATGATTGCATGGATGAGAAAGACCATAGTTAGTTATGGTATATTTTATATATGATGTGGTTTGTTTAAATACTTTATTTAAAATTGTCATATCTATGTTGATAAGTAAAACAGACCTACTATTTTTTATTCTTTTTTTGCTTTGGGATCATTTGAGACCCCACAAAATGAATTGATAAATTTTCTATTTTTTAATTTCTGGAACTACTTATATTAAACATCTGTCTGTTGAAAGTTATATATATCCACCTGTAAAAGTATTTATGCTCTGGGCTCATTTGGACAGTGATATTTGATTATTATTTCCATTTATTCAGTGTTAGCACCTATTCACATTTTCCATTTCTACTTATACCTGTTGTATACTTACTTGCTAGTGAATAGGAGTTTATAATCTTTTATCATTCTGATATTCTCTGATGTATCTGAAAGGTTTACCCTTTTTTCTTATGTATTTTGTTTATTTGTCCCTTCTTCATTTTTTCTTGATCACTCTTGCCAGAGGCATATGTTTTATTTTTCTTCTTTTAAAGAATCAGTTTTGGTTTTGTTAATCTTTATTTCATGTATTTCTGCACTTCTTATTTTTTTTTCTTTTAGGCTTGCTCTGTTTTTCTTTCACTGTTTGAGTTTAATACTTAGATCACTTGTTCATTTTGACTACTGTATATAAAACTATACATTTCCTCCCAACTACCGCTTTAGCTATGCCTCAACTAGTATTTTCTTTCAAGATTTTTAACTATTTTGCAGTTTCTTTTATGATTTGCCCCACCAGACCAAGTTTATTTATTAATGTGTTATATAATGTTCATATCTATTAGAACTTTCTATAGGTATTGTTTTCTTATTGTTATTCCATTTTTATGTTCAGAGAACATATTCTGAAAGATTACAGATTGGGGAGGTGGGATATCAATCCTTTCTTTGGGGCCTAGTGCATTTTTTGAGTATTTCATGTTTTTCTGGAAAGAATGGGTAACTTCTGCCTTTTGAGTATACAGTTCTCATATCTCTTGGATTGAAGTACTTTGTTATCAAACTTTTTTAAATGTAATTCATCAGTTTTTCAGAGATGTGTGTTCAAATCTGTAAATATTGTTGATTCATTTCTCCCTATAATTCTGCCAGTTCTTTTTATTATGTTCAGTTAGCTAACATATAGTACATCATTAGTTTTTAATGTAGTGTTCAGCAATTCATTAGTTGCGTACAACACTCAGTGCTCATCACAACATGTGCCCTCCTTGATACCCATCACCTGTTTTTTTAATTTATATATTTGAAGGCTATATTATAGGATGCAAATATGCTTTTGGTCATTATACTTCTCTTATTAGCATCATTTAATTCTCTTCTTTACCTTTTAGCTATTTCTTTCAAGGAATTATATTTTGTTTCTTATTAAAATTGCCATTCTAGCTTTCTTTTGGTTCACTGTTCCTGTTATATCTTTTCCCTTCCCTTTATTTTCAGTCTTCAATCCTTTCTTATGCTTCATAGATAATTTGCTAGGTATGATTTTATCATCTAAAAATGGTACCTTTAACCCACTTATGTTTCTTATAATTATTGTGGTAAGGGTCTTTTTGCTATTTTATTTAATATATTCTATTTATTTAACTTTCTTTTTACTTCTTTTTTGCTTTCCATTGTACAGTGGTACCCCTTTATCTGCAAGGGATGTATTTTAAGATCTCCAGTGGATGCCTGAAACCATGGATAGTACCAAACCCTACATTATGTTTTTTTCCTATATATTAGACACAGCAAGAGATTAACAACAATAACTAATAATGAAATAGAACAAGTGTAACAATATACTGTAATGAAAGTTAAGTGCATGTGGTCTCTCTCACTATCAAAATATCTCGTGTTGTACTCACCTTTTTTTTTTTTTTTAGATTTTATTTACTTGACACAGAGAGAGAGAGCACAAGCAGGGGGAGTGGCAGGCAGAGGGAGAGGGAGAAGCAGGCTTCCCGCTGAGTAGAGAGTCCTGCTTGAGGAGCTCCATCCCAGGACCCTGGGATCATGACCTGAGCTGAAGGCAGACACTAAACCCACTGAGCCACCCAGGCGCCCCTGTACTCACCCTTTTCCCTTTTGTGATGATGTTAGATGATAAAATGCCTACATGATGAGATGAAAGGAGGTGAATGATGTAGGCACTGTGATACAGGGATCGTAGCATTTGGCTGCTTTTGATCTTCCAGTGATGTGTCAGCCTGTGGACCATCTGCTTCCAGACTGCGGTTGACTGTGGGTAACTCAAACCACAGAAAGTGAAACCACAGATAAGGGGGAAACTATGGTATATACTGGATATTCTTCTGCTGCTTTGAAAGCTGTATATCTTTCAAATGGTTAACCTGATTATTGAAATTCTTAACTACATTAATGTTTTACTATCAATTCTAAAACTTTTCAGTTTTAGTATCTATCCCCTAATAAAACAAGTACCTAATCAGGTACTTGTTTCACGACTCTACTTTCTTCCCCCACCTCTTGCCAGGACCATATTGTAGAATTTAACCCTGAGGCTTTTATTAATACACTTGTGTTTGTCTCTATTTTTGTGGAATCTTCCTGGATCTCTTACCATGATGGTAGAGGAGCGCAACATCAATGCTACTCTGCCAGTTTAAAGAACAATTTCAATTTCTCTCACTATTTTCCCATGATTTGCATGCTAATTCTTCTGATTCTTGGATTCTAGAAATTGATGTTACTATCAATGCCAATCAATGATAGAGTTCATAGAACAGTTTCAACTGCTTAAATAATTTCTTTGCTATTAGTATTTCATGCTTCTGTGAGATCATTAAGTGGTATGTTAGAGATGGAGGGGAAAGAAAAATTTTTCAGGAAAATGTAATGCCCTATGGAAACCATGGGACTCAGAGGGTCATGCTGGGTCTCGTGGCTTTCTTAACTTTCTTCTGAGTAAAATCATTGATGTTGTCTAACTAACCTATGTGTCAGGAAGATAATGTCCAGATCAAACTATGAGGCTTTCAAATTTAGTAAAACACTTACATTGAGAAAATGCCAATAAGATGACATTTTTGCTAAAAATGTATTGCATGCTTTTGTGAAGAAAGTTGCTTTTATTTTCTCAGCTTTGAGTTAATCAGGGAAGGGAATACAGTGGAACTCTCAAAGTGAATTCTTTGGTGAGTTAGCCATGTTGATGCTGGAGTGAGCGGGACACCAAAAGGGCCATTGGGGAATTATAGTCTTCATTTCTACATATAGGAGTTTCAGGCAACAGTGCAAAAGTGGGGGAATTTTTGGAGAGAATGGAGAGATCTGTGTGACTCGAAATGATACCAAATCACATAAAATATGTTTGCTTTGGATTTCTTTGTCATATTCCTTTGAAAATTTTTATTTTTGCTTTCTTTCTGCCTTACATTTACTTATATAAAGTCTTGGCTTTTCTGTATTTTGTCAATACAAATAATTTAAATACAGCAAGGGTTGCATAGTTTTGTTTTAGGCTGAAGGTTTAATGAAGAACTGCCACTTCAATAAGTAGATATTGGGGTAGAAATTGATATGAAATATTTTCTTCTTTGATAACTCTCTGATAGAAATGAATGAGCAAAAAATGATGGGTAAAATGCCAAGGATCAGAAGTAGAGGTCCTGTGCAGGCTATATACTGGATTATTAGGCCTTGAATAACCAAGTATGCAAAACAATTTTCTAGTGCCCAGTGTGTTACCAGCATACAAAAAGTTAAAAAAAAAACTATGACAGTATTTAAATCTCTACTTTTATTTTATTTGTGAATTTACTTATTTTTTTAGGTGTATCAAGCCTGAAGAGAAGTCTCTTGGTGTGGGGTTACATACATTTTGCACAAGAGTATTTGGTAAAAATAGTTATTTTTTCCAACATCAGATCATTAAATACTAAGTAAATGAAATCATTCTCTCAGAGTAATAGTCTAGCAAATACCCCTTCTGTTTGCAGCACTTTGTAATTTATATGAGAATGAGGGACAGTAAGACATGGATAACTTCCCCCCTTTACTTGAAAAAGACTTATCTGAACTTAATTCTACTTTTCATCTATTAGAAGATTTTAAAAGCAAATGCACAAAAAAATGTCTTGTACACATGATTGGCCCAAAGCACTGCAGAAAAAATTAAGAATTATTAATTCATTGTTTTTCTATATCAATAATTTTATGTTGCATTTATCCATCACATTACTTGTCCTTTATAATTTAGAAACTTTATAGTAAAAGTAACTTCTAATTTCTAAAAATAAAACCTAAAGCATTCTATTTTATTTGTTTATTAAACAAATAAAGTTTATCTAAACTTTATTTGTTCTACAGATAGGGAAAATGTTTCCAAACAAAATAATGTACCTTAATTCTTACCTTGTTGATGGATTATTCCTTCTCCCTTCTTTAATTGCAGCTGGAATTCCTGCACCTATATATTTTGGAGCTTTAGCGGATTCCACATGTTTACATTGGGGAATTTTGAAATGTGGTGAGTCAGGGGCATGCAGGATATATGACTCTGCCTACTTCAGGTAAAGATAATAAATTTTTTGAAGAATTGTTTTCCAAGCACAGGCTGTACATGAAATGGCACCATTCATGTATAACATTTTCTTTGTCAGGTACTAGACTACTTTTGGTTGTGTTTCCAGAATATATGCTAATACTATATCTTTATTCCTTATTTATATACTAGAATCTTATTTCCTTACTATATTCAAAGTACTTGTTAAATGTAAGCATGGATGGCTTCCTTAACGTAGCCTTTCAAAATGATCTTTGTTAAATTGGTAGCAATCAATATATTATTCAAAGTCATAGCTGTACATACACTTCCTATTCAAATTACATTACTCTCTAAAGTGTTCCCATTTTATCCTACATCATTTTAACATCATACTAGCTTGAATCTTTACTTCCTTTCATATCCACCTCTACTTTTCAAAATGATATGTTTCCTCCTTCATTAAATTTTGCTGACACAATATTCTTCATGTCTCATAAAGGCTTATTCTTTTGTTAATATAAGTCTGATTTTAAACAAAGCTCAAGATCATATGAATGTGTTTTTAACAAAACACTTCCATTTTGTTCTATTTTCACATTTCTTTTGTATTAATTTCTCTTGACAGGGCAGTACAAAAACTCTTCCATTTACTAAAAAAAATTTAGCATTCTTTAAAACATTTTAAGGTCCTATGTTGATTAACAAAAGGATATATGTGAAGAACTGTGAGGAGGGCAGACAGCATGAGATTCCTGTTTTCATCAGTTCTCTGTTCCCCTAAAGCTCTACAGGGGTAATGTGGAGGTGGGCCCAGGCACACACTGTACATGCAATGGGTTTGCCTCACAGCTGAGAAACCGCAAGGATCGCTAGTGTAGATCAGCCTCATCCTGCTGCCAGGATTCCTGTTGATAGTAGCCTTAACTAAATGCTATTTCAGACAAAATAACTATATTTGGTACCAAACTCTATCAGTCAGATTAATTAGAGTGGCTGATAAAGTGTACTCATGAGAAAATTCACCAGATGTTAATATTGTGTCGAAACAGGCGGTGGATATCGTTAGTAGACAGTTCTCCATGGGTCTCTTACATTTCTGCATATCTTGTTAGCAGAGCCTTTTGCTGTAGACTATCTTTTCAAGAATGCTTGAATAGTAAATGACCTTGGAAGATATAGGTGATGTTTTCCTGTGGAGCAGAGTTTGCTGTCTAGGATGATAAAAATAGTAACTCTCTCTACGGCAAATGTTGGCAATTGGCTTGCAGCCCATTTAAAAGAATGGGATTTCCTAAACTCAGGATTTCTTAGCTGTGACCCAAACCCATTGTGTGCACAAAATCCACATAGGTCTCTCACTGTGTGATTCCTTTGGGACTTGAAGGTTAAGGAAAACCAACCTGAATTTGCAGCTTTTGCTGACTGCTGTACTGTGAGTAAAAAAGCCCTGTGTCTCTGACCTAGCAGTCTTTATCTTGAGCCAGCATTCATGCAACTATGGCAGGCTAACCTGTTAGCTTCAAATCCAGGTAGTGGTGCCTGGGTGGCTCAGTCATTAAGCCCAGGGTCCTGGGATTGAGCCCCGCATCGGGCTCCCTGCTCAGTGGGAAGCCTGCTTCTCCCTCTCCCACTCCCCCTGCTTGTGTTCCCTCTGTCACTGTGTCTCTCTCTGTCAAATAAATAAATAAAATCTTTAAAAAAATAAAATCCAGATAAAGTCTAGGACTCTTTTGCAGTTCTTAAGAACAGAAATACTGATTAACTTTAAATTTTGCCAAAAATGTAAGGATATAAGGATGGCCACTTACATTTATTCCAAGCTACTAGAAAGGAAGAAAGGGATTAAGGAAAATTCAATGGAAGTAGGAAATAGGAAAATAAAAGCATACAAAATAAGTTGAAAAATAAACCTAAATATATCAGGTTTATCAATAAATGCAAAGCAAAGGAACTTACTTCTTAAAAGATAGTGACTTTCATGTGAGTTTCAGTGTTTTCAAAATTCTAGCTATATGTTATTTGCAAGACACAGCCTAAAAAATAAAGTGTGAGGAAAGGCTGAAGATAAAAGTCAGAAAAGATATACCAGGCAGATATTAAATCAAACTTCTGTGGTTATATTAATGACTATGAGACAAAATAGAATTTAAAGTGAAAAGGATTGGGGCACCTGGGTGGCTCAGACAGTTAAGCATCCAACTCTTGATTTCAGCTCAGGTCTTGATCTCAGGGTCATGAATTCAAGCCCTGCATTGGGCTCTATGCTGGGCGTGAAGCCTACTTTAAAAATAAAATAAAATAAAATAAAGTGAAAAGGATCAATAGAATTAAAGAAGGATATTACTTAATAATAAAAGAAATGCTTCATCAATAATATATAGCAGTAATCAACCTATATATATCTATCAACCTAATCTCAAACATTCAAAAATTATATATATATAATAACCTATATATATCTATCAACCTAATCTCAAACATTCAAAAATTCACAAAATTACAGGAAGAAATTTAAATCAGAGTGGAAAATTTCAACAAACTTTCCCAATGAGTGAATAGAAAATGTAGGCAAAAAATTATTGAGGATAGAGAAAATTGTGAACCACCATATTGTACAATCTATCTAATAGATCTATCTATCTATCTAATAGATATATAGCAATTTAAAAAAAGCCTAACCAATAGAATATACATCTTTCTCAAGCCTATAATAAACATTTATTACAACTAAGTCCAATGCCACAAAGTTAAAGAAAAAAGTGTTGATACCACGTAACCACTATTTTCTGTCCATAATGCAATGCAATTAGAAACTATGATAAAATGTTGCCAAAACCTCACACGTGAAATTACTTACAGGTCAAAGAATAAATTATAATAAAAATAATGAAGTAACTAGAACTCTATGTTAGTGAAAGCACTGTTAGGAAAACCTCTGTGACAAGACTAAGCCAGTACTCAAAAGTATATTTAGAAATTTAAATATATGTATGTTTTTAAAAAGACTGGAAATTAGTGACTCAGAATTTAGAAAAAGGACAATGTAACTTCAAATAAAGTAGAAAAACCTGATAAATAATTCATTAAGTTATGTATTGATATATTTCCTATTTCAAATAAGAACAATAGATACAATATATTTTTTAAATTCCAAAGGGATATAACTGGGTTCAAAGACAATATACACAGAATGAAATGTATAGTATTATGCCAATTATTTAAAATATAAAAACATATAAAGTAATTCTATACATTATGAATATATACATATACACTTTGTAAAACTATAAAAATAAACTAGAAACAAAATCCATAACATTCAACATAGTTTTACACCTAGGAAGGGCTAAAAGATAATATCATAGGGGCACACAGGGATTTCAATGTATTAGTTTTTTCTTTTGAATTGGTCTGAAACAAAAATGGTAAAATTTAATCATTTTGAAAACCTGGGTGGTAAGTACAAACATATTAGTTAACTTATTTTTTCTGTATTCTTGAAGTGTTTCATTATAACACTTTAGAAGTAAAAAGACGAAATAAAAAGATGATGAAATTAACAGACTACACACCACAGAGGTAACCAAAAAAGTAAAACACTGTTTTTTGAAAAGATTAAAATATAATAATAATAATACTCTGGAAAGGCAAATAGAGAGGAGGTACAAATAAATGCTATAAAGAATAAAAAAGGAAATATAAGTACAAATACTTAGGGATTTTAGATACAGCAATTTGGAAATATTAAATAGTTTTCTAGATGAGTATATATTACCAAATTTTATTATAAATACATAGAAAACATGAATATTTTCATAGCTATTTAAAAACATGAATCAGTCAAAAATTCCCATCCTCCAAGGACACCAAGTCCAGATTCTAAGACAAGTTTTACAAACCTTCAATGAACTGATGATTTCTGCATAATACATGTCATTCTGAAAAACGGAAAAAAAGGGAAATTTCCCAATTCATTTACAAAACTAGTACAATTTTGATATTCACATTAGACAAGTTCAGTAAAAGAAAAAAAGTGCAGGCTGATTTTACTTACAAATATGCATGTAAAAATTCTAAATAAAAATGAATAAATCAAGGGACGCCTGGGTGGCTCAGTCGGTTAAGCGACTGCCTTCGGCCCGGGTCATGATCCCAGGGTCCTGGGATCGAGTCCCACATCAGGCTCCTTGCTCAGCAGGGAGCCTGCTTCTCCCTCTCTCTCCCTCTGCTTGTGCTCTCTCTGTCAAATAAATAAAATCTTAAAAAGAATGAATAAATCAAATCTAATGTATAAAACATCACTAATGGAGTTTATATTATGCATGCATGGATGGTTCAATATGAGAAGACTCTATTAATCTAATATACCCTATTAACTCAGTAAAAGGGGTAAGATCTTGGATATTCCGCTAACTATATGCAGAAAAATAATTTGGTGATATTTTACATACTCATAATTAAAACTTTGAGCAAACTCAGAATAGAAGAGGAAGTTCCTTAACTTGATTAAGGCCATCAACCCCCCCACCCAAGTAGAAATCACAATTGATGGTGATTTCTTTGGAAGCATTCTTAATTAGATAAATTAGATCTTAATTAGATAAATAAAACTGCTATTGCTGTCAGTGTTACATTTAAATTAGAGGCTCAATTTTATGTAAAAGGATTTAAAAAACCCAAAGGATTAGAAAAGAAGAAAAGAAGTGTGAATTTTCTGGATGAAAAATTCCAAAAAAACGTTTAACAAACGTTAGAATTAATAAGTGAGTTCAGAAAAGTTGCTTATATAACATTGACATGCAAAACAATTAGCTGCTGTTGTCCTCATGGGAATGAAATGTTAATGATTAAGGGTATGCAATACTAGCTTATACTACCCACACTATGCAACATTTAATATGTTTTAACATTTTTTTTGATAGATACATCTACCTTGGCTTGCCCGCAGCTCTAAGAGGAACAAGCTATATTCCAGCCTTTTTAATCCTAATTATTTTAAAGAAGCGTCTTCTACCTGGTGAAAATGCCTGTTCAGGAACTGTGCTTATAGAGGCAAAGGTTACAGGGAAGGAAAATGAATGCAAAGATATGAACCAAAATTCCAAAGTTTTGAATGATGATGAATTGAAAACTAAACTGTAATGCCCCATTATATCATGCTTCCCAGAGTTGGAGAATACACTACAGCTTAATTGTTTTTAAAATCAATAGGGATACAGAGTGTAACTTTTTCTAATCTTTATGAACCTCAAATTTTGGTGTTTGTTGTTGTTGTTGTTTTTATGCTTTCTTGCGTAAAAAAAAAGTTCAATGATGGTATTTCTGCGGCATCCATGGCACTTGAGATATTTCTCAGAGAGACATTTATAATAACCTTCAAACAGGATATTAGAGTCAGCTTTATTTTTTTATGTGAAAATAGCAATTTCTCTTTTAAGTCATGTGAAATGAGGGTATATTTCCCACACCTCCTTTTCCAAATGATTCTAAAAATTTCCTTTTATAAAAATCTACTTAATTCCATTGAATTTCTGCTTTGATATTGGGGTTATTTAGAGACTGAAAGTCTTATCCTGCTTACGTGAATATTTATTTTTATTCAAATGTATCACTTTTATGTGAAAGAAGCCCACACCTTCTAATTCTAGGAATTGTTCTTTAACTTCTCCTATTCCTTCCAGACATGATTGTTTTAAAATAGATTACTCATTAATATGACGTACTTGCTCTCCATTTATTCCCAGCTTTATTACTCAAGTCATACATATGCTCATTTTGTCCAGAATACCGAAAAACTGAGTCAGATTATTAAAAATCATGTAGCAAAGATTGTTGGAATTTTTTCTTTCTTTTCTTTTTTTTTTTTTTAGCAATTAAAACCTGGTGACTAAACTCTGAAAAACAAATGTCTGAGTCAAAAGATGAAAGGATGATATTAGAAAAACACTGTACTGTCAGATATTGTCAAAGAAACATTTATCCAAATTTAGGAGACCTTCAAAGATCAATGTTTATGCTACCCATGGTGTCCAAAGTTAGAACACAAATACTAATTTTCCATAATTCATCTTAGAGAATGATGCTTTATTTTTTTTAAGAATTTATTTATTTATTTGACAGAGAAAGACACAGAGAGAGGGAACACAAACAGGGGGAGTGGGAGAGGGAGAAGCAGGCTTCCCGCTGAGCAGAGAGCCCGATGCGGGGCTCAATCCCAGGACCCTGGGATCATGACCTGAGCCGAAGGCAGACGCTTAACCAGTGAGCCACCCAGGCACCCCAAGAATGAGGCTTTAAAAAAGTAGATTCTGTTATGTTAATAAAATTCAAGATACACATTTAAAACTAAATGTACTCATATTATTGGGGCGCCTGGGTGGCTCAGATGGTTAAGCGTCTGCCTTTGGCTCAGGTCGTGATCCCAGGGTCCTGGGATTGAGCCCCGCATCAGGCTCTCTGTTCAGCAGGAAGCCTGCTTCTCCCTCTGCTTCTCTTTCTCTCTCTTTCTGTCTCTCATGAATAAATAAATAAAATCTTTCAAAAAAAATAAAAAAATAAATGTACCCATATTATTATTTTGTCATGTATGGATACAATAAAAGGATGAAAGAATTTTAAAAGACAAGAGGCCCTATTGATGATATTGGGTTTCTGGTTCAAGGGAGTAGAATAAGGAACCATATTTATCTAATTCTTATTTTCTCTCCTTACTCTCCAGCCCACTTAAATAATAGTTAATACATAAATCATTATATAAATCCATAATGGTAAGGAGATTACAGGAAGGGAAGGTGGGAGAAGTGGGTATTAATATACTATGGTTATATATGTGTAATATAAAGGGAATGTGAATTCCTCCAGGGATAGAAGAGTGGAAGAAGGTATAATCTAGAATGAAGTCACAAGGACCCTGGGACGTAGGTAGGAGCCACTGAGTTGCAAGTTCAAATACTACCAAAAAAAATGGTAGCTGCACAGAAAATAGACCAGTTAATTGAAAGACTACCTAAAGACATTTTGAGGACTAATACAATTTCCTGAATGATTAGATGTGTCATATGAGAAGAAGGCAACTGAGAGGAGAAAGACTGGGTAGGTCAAGCCTATGAGTTAAGTTTTGGAATTGTGGAGTTTGAGATTTCATTTCTCGTTATATTAAAAATAACCATGACTCAAGACAGGAGTATTGTTGAAACATGAGAGAAGAGCTAATCATTGGAAATGAGGAATGTAACTCAGGGTAGGTGTGATTGCAGCAGTGAGGAATAGTTGAGTGTTTATAGTTGAGTGTTAGAGTCTGATGACAGGAAATTTGGAGTTGGTGGGGAGGAAATGGGAAGAATCACCTGGAAGCTAAAAGGAGGAACAAGGACTTACTCTATTTCCAGAGACTTGTGAGAAACAGGAAACAGCACCACATAAGAAGCTTTTGGGGGGAGGAGAGGAAGATGGTGGCAGAGGAGGAAACCTTTGGCTCATCTTATCCAGTGAACACAGCTAGATAACTAGCAAATCATCCTAAATACTCCAGAAATTGGCCTGAAGACAAATAGAACAAACTGCACAACTAAAGAGAGAGAAGAGGCTGCATCAAAGAAGGTAGGAAGTGCAGAGATGGAATTTAGGGGAGAAACAGATCCCAGGTGCTGCAGAGGGATAAGGAGCTATGTTCTCAGAGAAGGGCAAGATTGAGAGGATTGAACAGGGGGATGGATGCACAAGGAAAATGTTTTCCCAAAGCCACTGGCTTGGAAAATGAGGCTAAATTCTGTGAGTTTTTGCAACCAGCAGGGCTTGAAGACTGGAGTTTTAAAGGTCAGAGGGTTTGGCTGGGATAGAGCGCTGAGGGCACTATACTGCTCCTGGAGAGAAGGTAGGCAAACAATACTCAGGCAGACAGTTTGGAAACAGTGATCTAAAGAGCACCTGAGGCACACAGTGGGAAAACGATTTGCTCTTCTCAGAGGTTGTCCCTGAGAGGCAACATTCATGGAGTTGCCTCTCTGGGAGCAAAGGTGCTTGCTGGCTGGCACCATTTCCCTCCCCCACCCCTCAGCATAAACACAGAACCACCTGCAGGAGGCCAGTTCAGGGGGACCACTGGCTGCCTCATGTGCTAACACCAAGCCCCACTCCCCTGCACTCTGGCAGGACTGCCCTTCTCAGTCAAGCTTGCCTCAGTCCCAGGGCAGCAGTCCCCTCCCCCGCAGAAGACAAGCACAAAACCCTGCCCACACCACATCCCCTGACCAGAGAGTTCTGGAGGGCCCCAGTTACGGTGGAGTTTGTGTCAGGTCTCATTTCACAAGCAGACCAGAGCACACCTACTTAAAACTAGCCATATTCTGGCCAGGGACCAAAAACTGCCCACAATAGGCAAGGAGAACCTCTGCAAACAATTGGCCTGAAGGATAGAGCAGCCAAAACACAAGAGCAGAGTATATGTAGCACATACCTGAGACACTCCCCAAAGCACAAGGCTCTGGGCACCTCATGACCTCTTCATTAGGCCATTACTTTCAGAATGAGGAGACATAACTGGCTTTTCTAAATGCAGAGAAGAAGGCAGAAACTTAGACAAAATGCAAAGACGGAGGATTTTATCCCAAATGAAAGAATAATATAAGGCCATGGTCAGAGATCTAAGTGAAACAGAGGTAAGTAACATGCCTGATGGAGAATTCAAAGCAATAATCATAAGGATAATCACTTGGCTTGAGAAAAGAATAGAAGACATCAGTAAGACCCTTACAACAGAGATAAAAGAGTTAAAAAAGAATCAGAGATGAAGAATGCCATAAACAAGATTGGAAACAGGCTTAATGCAATGAACAGCAGGCTGAAAGAAACAGAGGAATGAATTAGTGGCCTAGAAGACAAAATAATGGACAATATGAAACTGAACAAAAGAGAGAAAGAAGAGTTATGGAACACAAGAATACACTTCGGGAACTCAGGGACTCCATCAAACATAATAATATTCACATTATAGGAGTCCCAGAAGAAGAAAGAGAAAAGGGTGCAGAAAATTTATTTGAGGAAATGATAGCTGAAAACTTCCCTAATCTCAGGAAGGAAACAGACATCCAGATCCAGGAGACATAGAGAATTCCCATCAAAATCAACAAAAGCAGGCCAACACCAAGATGTATTGTAATTAAATTTTCAAATTATAGTAATAAAGAAATAATCTTAGGGGTGCCTGGGTGGCTCAATTGGTTAAGCGTCTATCTTCAGCTCAGGTCATGATCCCAGGGTCCTGGGATAGAACCCTGTGATGAGCTCCTTGCTCAGCGGGGAGCCTGCTTCTCCCTCTCCCACTGCCTGCCATTCCCCCTGCGTGTGCTCTCTCTCTCACTATCTCTTTCTGTGTGTGTGTCAAATAATAAAATATTTTTAGAAAAGAGAGAGAGAGAAAGAAAAAAAAATCCAGTCCTAATTGAGGGAAGAATAAAAGCAAACAAATGTAAGAATATGTTCTTTACTGCGAACTACAGATATATTGGCAGAAGCTTGCTAATTGGTAATCTCTTTCCAACAACAACAACAACAAAAAGAAAGAAAGAAAGAAAGAAAGAAAGAAAGAAAGAAAGAAAGAAAGAAAGAAAGAAAGAAAGAAAGAAAAGGAAGAGAAGAGAAAGAAAAAGTTCTGAGAATATATTTTCTGCTCTTTTTTCTTTCTTTCCTGAACTACGGATATTAGACTTTGAGAAGCAGCAGTCTTCTTGCAACCGAGAGGCAACAGGCATAGGAATGAAGACAACATTTGAGGAAGGTGGAGCAGAAAGATAGCTAGAGCCTGGTGACCTGATGTGGTGCTGAATACCTGCACAAGCAGGGTCAGGGCTAAGTTTTGTGGAGTATTAAGCTTCTACAACTTGAGAGGAGAGCTTATATAAGAAAAAGGAATTCAAAATTATGAATACAAAATGAGGTTAAAGGGGATATTTAGAATGAGAAAAAAACAAGAAATTTTATGTCATGTGCTTCAGGACACAATCATGAAAAAAAAAACCTACTGCAAACATTATAGTTAAATAAGAAATATTAAAAGCTTTCTTGCTGAGGTTGGGAGTGAGAAGATAATGCTTGTTATCATCATTTCTATTTAACATTATACCCGATGTCCTTGTCAGGGAAATAGGAGGGGAAAAAAAGAATGAAAATTTGTAAGGATAAGAAAAGAAAAAACAAATCATCAGTGACAAGCTGTGTAAACAGAAGATCCAAAAGTTACTACAGGTAAACTGTCCAAACTAATAAGTGAATTTTAACAAATCTCTG